TCTCTCCCTCTCTTCTCCTCTCTCTAAAAATAAATAAATAAAACCTTTTTAAAAGAAAGTCAAAATACTGCTAAAAACATTTCTGTTCTATTTTTGTTTATTTTTGTATGCACATGTGGTTCAAAAAACAGCCCATGTGTGTGTGCTCAGCTCTATGAGTTTATCACACTCTCAGCTCCGTGTAACCATGGCCACAGTGAGCAAACAGGACGGCTCCGCAGCCCCCCAGCTCCCTCACGCTCTGCCTTTGTAGCAGACCATCCGCCACCTCTCACCCGAGTCACTGGTTACGGCCCAGCTTTCTGAGGCTGACCTATGAATGGGATGGCAGAGAATACGTATCTACTGAGACTGGCTTCTTCCTCTCAGCTTGATGCCTTTGAGACTCACCCAAGTCCCTGAATTCATCAGTAGTGTGTTCTTTTCTATCGCCACACACACAGTACTGCATTGTGCGGCCGTTTGACAGCTGGTTACCCCTCCACTCACTGGAGGACTGTTAGGGGTTTCCATTCACCAGCTAGAGCTGTGTAAGGGGTACCGGCCTCTGCATTTCTCTAGGCCACGCACCTGGGAGTGGGGCGCCGGGCTCTGCAGTGGGCATACGTGCAATTCACAAGAAACTGCCAAACTGTTTTCTGATGCCTGCGCCCTGTTACATTCACAGTGGCAACATACAAGTTCCAGCTGCTCCATGCCAGCCTCTCTGGCACTTGACGTTGTGTGTGTGTGCGCACACACTCATATATGTACTTCTGATAGGAGTGGAGTGGCATCTCGCGTGGCTTCGCATCCTCTAGGTGAAGTGTCTGTGTGAAGCGCTCTGCCAACCTGGTAGTTGGGTTCTTCATTTGCTTTCATGTTGTTGACTTTTGAGAGTTCTTCATATATTCTGGATGCAAATCCTTTCTCATGTATGCGATTGGCAAATATTTTTTTCTAAGTTTGTATCTTGTCTTTCATTCCCTTAACAGTGTCTTTTGCTGGGCAGATTTTTTCGTTTTGACGAAGCCCAATGCATTACTTTTATTCTTTTATGAATGGTGCTCTTGCTGTCATTTCTAAGAACTCTGCCTAACCCCTGAGCCACCAAAGTTCCTCCTGTGTGTTCTCCTGAAGGTTTCACAGTTCTACAGTTTGAATTAGACCAATGATCCATTTTGAGTTAATTTTTGCGTAAGGTGTAGGATTTAAGTCAGGGTCCTTTTTGCGTGTGTGTATGTTGGTATCCTGTTGTTACACCACCATTTGTTGAGAATCAGCTTGCCTTTATCTATAAAAAATATCTGAGTTAGGTTTTAATCAGAGTTGCAATATATCTAATATATCTACAGATAAATTTTGGGAGAACTGATATCTCTGCTGTGTTGAGTCTTCCAACCAGTGACATGATCGTGTCTCTCCATTTGTTGATGTTGTTGTTCATTTCATTCATCAGCATTTTGAAGTTTTCAGCACATTTTGCACAAAAGATTTATACTTAAGTATTTTATTCGGGTAGTTATTATAGATGGCAAGGTGTTTTTTTAATCCTCACCCAAGGATGTTTATTGACTTTGGAGAGGAAGGAAGAGAAAGAGAAACATCAATCAGTTGCCTCCCCTACGGTCCCTGACCAGAGATGGAACCCACAACTAGATATGTGCCCTGACTGGGGATCGAACCTGCCACCTTTTGGGTGCACGGGGCAACGCTCCAACCACCTGAGTCACCCGGCCAGGGCAGTAGCGTGTTTTTAATTTCAGTTTCCACGTGCTCGTGGCTGGCATATACTAATGTTGTGTATTGATCTCATGTCCCGCATCTTTGCTAAACTCACTTATTAGTTCTGGGAATTTCTGTGTGGCTTCCTTCACATGCACTTGAAAAGAACCTCTGTTCTGCCAGCACTGGGTGGAGAGACCCATAAATCATAATTAATGTAGGTGGCTGAGGACGGTGCTCAGGTGCTCTGTACCTGTGAAGACTCTTTCTCTACCAGTTTCATTGTCTGGATCGGAGCCACGCCCATCCGGAAGCCAGCCGAGGTACCCGGAAGCAGTTTTTGAGGAGTTTCCTTCCAGAGGTCCCCCCTCCTCTGTGATCTCCCCAGTGATTTCCAGTTCCCCGAACTCCCCTAGGTCGACCCTTCGGCCAGAAACCTGGGGCTTTGGTGACCTGTTCTGCCACGCACCGTGCGCGTGGGGTAGCTGCACTCATACCTGGGGTCGCATACCCAGGGGACTGAGAGAGGGACAAGGCAGCACGGGTCCACTCCACAGGACCGGACACAGCCCCTCCTGCTGGAGCGAGTTTTGCTGTCCCTGGTAGTCTGTCTGCAGCCCTGCCGCTCGCTGGTCCGTCGCTTCCATTGCTGCTGCCAAGCTTCCCTCACCTTGGAATTTCCTGGGGACCCGAGAGGCTGGAGAAAAGAAAAGCAAGTGACTCCCCTCCTCCCCTGAGCACGAGGAGTCTCCTCTATCCCCAGAATCAGAGGACTTCTTGGCGTTCCCTCTGCCCCATTCCCACTCGTGGGCAGCTGTGAGTCTAAACTGGGGAGAGCAGAGTAAAACAAAGAGAAAATTTTGTTCCATTCAATAATAATTGGAATTCTGGTCTTCAATGCACCTGCTTCTGTCTGTGTCCAGAGTCCTCTGTCGGCGCCCAGTCTGCCCGGGGTTTGGAGCAGCAGTGGGCGGAGACGAACCGTCTGGCCTATTTCAAGCTGAAATGTTTCTAAAGTCTTTTAAAATGTTGTGAAAATAATCGCAGAAGAGTTGGCTCCCAAAAGGTGTCAGATACACAAGAAATATTACAGTGGCAGGCATGGCCAGCTGGCATCGAACAAGCCACTCTAGAATGAGCGGCTCCTAAGAATGAGCAGTATAATCCAAATTCTTTTTTTAAAAAAAAACAACTTTTGCATTCCTCATTCTGACTTCAATGCTCCCAGTAACCCGAGACTTGGAAAATCACGTGGTTGGCACAGCGTGAGGACGCACCACTGACAAGTGTGCCTTTGTTTTACTTAGTGGCTTCGCTGAACACCGCTGCCCCCTCGGCTGCATAGATGCCTCACAGGAGCTGAGAGTCCGACACATTTGTTTAACCAAACCGACAGGAAGGGGTCCCGTGCTGCTGCTCTCTGTAGGCAAAACTGAATTCTGTGCCGTGCATGACAGTCCTGGAAGTCACCGCTTTCCCAAGGCGGTGCTGACTGGCTGGGAGTCACAGTTCCCCCCGTGGACAGGTACTCTGGTGGCCGCGTTCCCAGCCGAGGAGCTACAGAGGAATCAAGCTGTTTATTTACCAAGGACAATCCCCTGGGTTTCCAAAGGGCTCTGCAGTGATAGACATTTCCCTCCTCACGTTTCTGCAAGGTGGAGTAGTGGCCTCATTTTAGGAGCCCGGAAACCGAAACACAAATGCTCACAGAAACAGTGTTACCCACAAAGGAACAGGCTGAGAGGACCCCTAACAACGAGGTGCCCCCGGGGTCTCCTGGGAGCTTAGCGCTGGGAACCTGGAGGAAGCTCTAGTCCAAACACAGAAGACGTTGCTTCTCTTATTGAGGTGCAACTGTTGTGTAAGAGAATTTGCCCATTTGACAAGTTTTGCCAATTGTATAATACAGCTGTATCACCATCACTAGAAGCGAAATACAGGCTATTTGCATAATCTAAGGTCCCCTCTCCCAACCCGACTCCGGGGCACCCCTACCCACTGCTTCTCTCTGCTCCCTGGGACTGTCACCAAGCCTTGGCACAGCTTGCCTCCGCACCCTGGGTGCTCCTTCCCACTCATCCCCACTGTCCCTTCTCCAATGAAGCACCCCGAACCCCTCAGGCCACGTGGGGTGACTCTCCTGGTGCCCCCACCCCATCCCACCTCCTGTCCCAGGAAATTCTGGTGCCTATGACAGGTGTGTCCGACTTACTCCCTGTTACCCCTGAAATCCCCTTCATGGTCAAAGTTAATATTCAAAGGCATTTTAAAGCCAAGACACTGAGGCTGGGAGGACGTATTGACAAGCAGAGGGGCATCCGGTCAGCACACAAACGGGGCGGAGTCCCTCATGGGCTTCAAGCCCCTCTCCTCCCAGCAGCACCAGGGCCCCCTCAGTCTCTGGAGTGGGCTGTGGTCCAGACCCCCGCACTGAGCTCCAGGCCCATGTGTCTCGAAGCCCCTTCCCAAGTCCTTCCCTTGGAGATCAGGCCCCCAAGCAACTCACACTGCCCGGCACTCCTGGAGGCCACTCCCTGTGAGCCCGGCTCTGGTGTCCCGCATCTTTGCACAGGTACGGCCGCCGGAGGCTCCCCCAACACCCCTCACCTTCATCCCCATTGGTGCCCCTAGAATACACTGTGAACCTGTCCACTTCTCATTATCCGTGCTGCTCCCACCCTGGGCACTGCTGCCCCCCTCCCCCCGCTGTGTCCAGGTGAGAGAGAGCTCTCACCCTCCAGTCCCTGCTTCTGACCTGCATGCAGACCCACCAAGGTCTAGGAGTTGAGCAGAGGTTCTTCACGTAAAATAACTGCACACTCTCCAGTGTCTGATGCACGTCGCTTGCTCCAGACACTGGGACTGTATTCTGTGATGACCCCGTCAGCAAAGGGCTTGGAAACCTTCCCAAGTCTACGGTCTACCTGCTGCGGGTTATGGCTGCGGGAGCACAGGCAAGCTCTGTGACCCCACAGGCATCCCACCTGTGTGGGGGGACAGTGAGGGCCACACGTGGGGCACTGGGGTGAGTAGCTGTGCACACTGCCTGCATGCACTGCTGTCGATGAAGAGTTGAGACGCCATGCTTCGGTGTGGGGGGAGGAAGCACAGAGGTTTCTGCCTCAAGCCTGGGACCTGCCATGCTTCTGCGTTCCCATCACTGGATCCCATGACCATTGTCCCTCCCGCTGTTGAGGGTCTGCACCTGGCCAGGGTGTCCCTCAGGTAAACGACATTGTCACCCTCGAGAGTCTGGGGGAGGGGGTTCCGTGAGGTTCAGCTGACACTTTCTCTTCCAGGGGATGAACAACCAGTACGTGCGCCGGGAGGTCTTCTGCCGGAACACCTGTCACGAGCTCAAGCGCTTCTGGGAGCGGGAGATCGGCAAGCAGACTTTCTACCGCCAGTCGGAGGAGCACCGCCTGGGAAGAAGCGCGCTGCAAAAGTACGTGGCTAATCTGTTTCTTATTAGTTAGTTTTTAGAAAGAGACTATTTTTTAGGGCAGGTTCACAGCAAAATTGAGCATCCTTGTGCGTCTATTTCTTTATGCATAATTGATTTTCACAGAAGAATGCCAGGTGGGCATCTCAGAGGATGAAATTATTTAAATTTTCCACGTATATGTTGCTGCCACCACTTATAGTTCACGAATGTGTACATATTTATCTTTATAAATGGGAGGAAAATCTCTCCTGTCACTGGTTCTAGTGCATGAAGGTTACACCAAATTTGGATATCGCTTTTTTAATTCCATTTGACAATCTTTACACTTTAATTGGATTGTTTACATCATTGAAATCAATTGGTCTGATTGGGTTTAAATCTACCATCTTGTCAGGCTTTCTATTTCTCTCATCTTTTTCTGCGTTCCCTCAGATGAAATATTTTTATGATTCCATTTTATCTCCTCAGTTGGCTTTTTCGAGACATCTTTTTGTGCTGCTTTATCGGCTGGTTTAGGATTTAGATGTGCGTCCTGAACTTGCCACACCTGCCTTCGAGGCCGCATTGCGCCCCATGCAGTGTAAGAACCCCAGCGCGGCAGCCCCATTTGCCCCCTCCTGGCCTTCGTGCCATGGTAACAAGCGCATTTTGACTTCCACCTGTGCTATAAGCCCCATGTCACAGTTAATAGTTTTGCTTTCAACCACTGGTTATCTTTGAAAGATTTAAATAGTAAGGGAAAGTTACTAATGTGCACCCACAGCTGCCTCGTCAGATGCTTGCATTCCACTGGGACCCCATTTCCACGGGGCGCCATTTCCACAGGGAGCCGTTTCCATGGGGCACTATTTCCTTCTGCTTGAAGGGACAGCCTTGCACATGCGCCGTGACAGTCTGCCAGTGATGAATTCTGTTTTTACACACCTGAAAACCTGTTTTTCAAGGACAGTCTTGTTGGGTAAACAATTCTAGATTGACAGAGTTTTCCCCCCAATATGTTAAAGATGTTGCACTTTCAAGGAAAAGTTAAGAGGATTAAGATCAGAATACTTTGAACAGACAAGAGAATTCAAATATGTACATAGTTAATTTGCAAGTCCTCTGCAGTCCCTCTACAACCTGAAAACACACACACACACACACCCCTTCAAGGGAAAAAAGGAAGGAAGCTTCCCCTGAACCAACAGTCAAGGAGTGAGCCCTCCCTTTCTGTGGGTTTTGTTCCTATGCTCAGGCTCAGAGAGGAATGGAAGCAGAGGCTGGAAACCAAGCTGAGGCTGCGGAACAATCAAGATGACACTGAAAAGCAGGCCAACGTTGGCCGCGAGCTCCTGGCTTCACTGACGCCAGAGGGCACGAAGCCCTGAGCCCACTCCGCCGGGAGAAGCCGGTCAGCACACACGGCCGAGCCCCTCTGCTGCGCCACACGGATCTCACGCCACTGTCTCCCCGACCCGTGGGGGGTTTGCCTGCAGCCCCTTTCCCAGTGCTCGATGGAATTATCGGCCAGATCAGTCCTCTCTGCGTGTCTCTAAAGATGAGCTTGTTTAATACCGAAGCTCCATGTCTAGTATTGAAATCCAAGTATTTTCACTTCTAAGCACAGTAGGGGGCGACCGCTTTTCTTCCAGGAAAGTCTCCTGTCCTCCTTTCTCTCGTTTTCTTTTTATGACAAGAAAAATGCATCTACCTGCCGCAGTAAAAATACTGTAAATACTCATTACGATAAGGTTTGCAAATCAATCGATCTAATGCCATTTTTTTCTTCATATGAAATTAATTTTGGCTTATTGAAAAACATGCTTCTCCAGACCTCTTCAATAAGATCAGGGCCATTTTAATAAAACTTGGTTGCCTGCACTTCCTGGAGTGAGTTTTATTGCTTTATTTAAAACCACCACTTGCTTGTGCTGGTTAGCTCCCTGCCAGCTCAGCTAGAGTCTATTTGGCCACCCCGACCCAGTGTCTGCCATACAGATTCTGAACTGTGAAAGGTCACCACCACTCCCCAGACCTCCCTCGGGTCCCCGGTGCAGGGCTGCTGATTCTAACAGCGTAAACCGGAACTGGGCCTGGGGCAACAGTTTCCAACCAGGCCTAGGAAGCAGGGAGGTGCCCACGGGGAAAGTGCACGACAGCGGGAAGTCACACCTTCCACACACAGGGGCCATGTGACCGGGAGACACAGGCCAGGGGAGATTCGGGACTGTAGCAAGTGTGGCTTTCCAGTCCTTGAAACGCCCTGATGTGCCACGTGGTGCTCCATCCACATCCCCTGGGAGCCAAGAAGGCTGCTTCACGGCAGCAGGAGGCCAGAAGCGCTGGGGGAGCGTTTGCCCAGGCCTCCCACTTCTGTGACCTGGGGCACAGGGCTCGGAGCCCTCCCCTCTGATAGGGTCCCTCGTGCAGTCTGGGATTCAATTCAACTAATAAATTACGAATTCCAGCCAGGTTCCTTTGGGCCCATTTTCATGAAAGAGCTTTTGTCGGGTATAGAAGGAAAATAGAAATTAAATAAAGGGAGAAGAGAAGACACGGCTTGTGGGCTGGAAGGCTCTCCGAAGTGAAGGCCAGCCATCATGAAGACACCGCTGCTGGAATCTCACTCGGAGGAGTGAGGCAGGAAATGCAGGTGAATATTGTGTGTTTACTGGTTCACTGTGGGCCAGGCACTGCGCTATAAATAACCAGAATCCCGCAGGGAAAACCAGGAGCACTGGCTCCGGGGGCTACAGTCTAGGGACGCTGGCAGAAAACTCAGGGTTGTTAGAGTAAGAGACTTCAGTGCTGGGAGCCACAGCAGGTAGTGGGTGCCTTAGCCTCTGAAAGCTTTGTAAGGACAGGCTGGTTAAGCCCAAGTAATCACCATGCAGGTAAAGGTAAGATTCAGGGCTCCTGGGTCCTGGAGCTTTGAGGGGATACCTTCGGAAAAGCTGAATGGGGGTGAGAAGAAGGGGTAGCAAGAGCAGAATCCCGTAGGGTGCTGGCCAGGGGAGTGCCACACGGCCGTGGGCCTGGAGGGTTGTCGGCACCAACAGGTGGGAGGACCGAGGTGGGAAGGCCCGCTGGGAGCGTCTGCAGATGCCTCCCCAGAGAGGCAAGAGGGCCCACACTCGGGCACTCGTGCAGCCCAGGCGGGGAAGGAGAGGGGGGGAGCATGAGGGCTGTCCTCTCACAACACTGGGGGCCAGGAGTCCAAGACCAAACGCCAGGACGCTCCGCTTCCTGTGTTGTAGATGGCCACCTTCTCACCATGTGCTGACATGGCTCCGGAGCGTGAGTGCTATCTGATGTCCCTTCTTGTAAAGGCATGATTCCCACCACAAGGGCCCCACCCCCATGCCCTCATCTAAACCCAATTGCCTCTCAAGGCTTCAATCTCCAAATAGTATCACACTGGGGTTTGAGGTTTCGACCTGCGAATTGAGATGGGGGGGGGGGACGACACAGTTCAGTCCAAAGCAGAATAGGGGACTTGAAATCTGTGTATCAAGTCCTGGGCACATCACATTTATAAAACTGACCAGGATTAACACAGCAAACGCTGCAATGCATGGAACACAGCCCAGGTGTCACGCTGGCCTCTGGGTAGCCCATAGCAGCGCAGCCAAGGCTTTGACAGGTAATGGACACGTACAACACAGCCCACAAACAGGAGCCAGGACATGCCTTCTCAACACAAATAGATTGCCTGCCTGCTAAAATAGATACGTAAGAAGGAGGGAGAGTCTCATAACCTCATACTCAAAATGTCCAGGGGCAGTCTAAAATTTCACAAGCCAAGGCAATTCCAACTCAAAGGAGAAAGGGTAAGGAACAGACCAAGATGCTGGAATTATCCACGAGGATATTCAAGCGGTTATACTAATGCTCCAACAAGCAATCATAAGCACTTCTTAAGCAAATTTAAAAAGTAAGAAAATGGAGGCATAGGTAGACACACTGTGCCTCCTCGCACAACCAAAAGAACAACAACAAATTTAAAAGCAAAAAACAACCAGAAGTGCCAGAAAATCGAACTGTATGGAAGTCCGACAACCAAGTAGTAGGAGAAGAAACATTCATCCAGACTGGTGGGAGGGGTGCAGATGGGCAGCCAGGTGGAGAGGACTCACGGCAAGGCAGCTCCTGGAGGATGTGGAGGACCTGGGTGGGCAAGGCAGTGGCTGGCAGACTGGGCAGTCCCACGTTTGCATGTGGATAAAACAGGAGAAACAACTGGGAAGTGAGAAAGACTGCAGCAACCCAGGTTGCTTTATTTCCAGCACTGGGAAATAAAGCCTCAAAATCTCTGATTGAAAAAACCTGTGGAGGTTGCGGCGGCCGGAGAAACTCCCAGCCTCACAGGAGAGTTCACTGGAGAGACCCACAGGGTCCTAGAACATACACAAACCCACCCACCTGGGAATCAGCACCAGAAGGGCCCAATTTGCTTGTGGGTGGCGGGGGAAGTGACTGAAAGCTGGCCCAGAGCCCAGCAAGCAGCATGGTTCCCTCTCGACCCCTCCCCCACATACAATGCCACAATGCATGGACGTGGGTGGCCCTGCCCCAGCAAATCCCTAACGCTCTGCCCCTTACTACATAACAGGCTCACCAAGACAAAAAAAATATGGCCCAAATGAAAGAACAGATCAAAGCTCCAGAAAAAATACAACTAAGTGAGGAAGAGATAGCCAAACTATCATATGCACAGTTCATAACACTGGTAATCAGGATGCTACAGAATTGGTTGAGTATGGTCACAAAATAGAGGAAAAAGTGAAGGCTATGAAAAGTAAAATAAAGAAAAATGCACAGGGAACCAACAGTGACAGGAAAGAAACTGGGACTCAAATCAATGGTTTGGAGCAGAAGGAAGAAACATTCAACCAGAACAGAATAAAGAAACAAGAATTCAAAAATATGAGGAGAGGCTTAGGAACCTCCAGAACAACTTTAAATGTTATAACATCTGACTCACAGGGATACCAGAAAGAGAAGAGGAAGAACAAGAAATTGAAAACTTATTTGAAAAAATAATGTAGGAGAACTTCCTCAATCTGGCAAAGAAAATAGACTTCCAGGAAGCTCAGAGAGTTCCAAAGAAGTTGGACCCAAGGAGGAACACACCAAGGCACATCATAATTACATTACTCAAGATGAAAGATAAAGAGAAAATCTTAAAAGCAGCAAGAGAAAAAGAGAGTTACCTATAAAGGAGTTCCCATTAGACTATCAGCTGATTTCTCAAAAGAAAACTTACAGAGAAGAAGGGGCTGGAAAGAAATATTCCAAGTCATGAAAGGCAAGGACCTACGTCCAAGATTGCTCTATCCAGCAAAGCTATCATTTAGAATGGAAAGGCAGATAACGTGCTTCCCAGATAAGGTCAAATTAAAGAAGTTCATCATCACCAAGCTCTTATTATATAAAATGGTTTATTTTAAAGATTTATTTATTTATCTTTAGAAGAAAGAGAAGAAAGGGAGAGAAAGATCAATGTGTGGATGTGTGGTTGCCTCTCATGCGTCCCCTGCTGGGAACTGGCATGTGCCCTGACTGGGAATAGAACTGTGATTCTTTAGTTCACAGACCCGCACTGAATCCACTGAGCTACACCAGCCAGAGCCTACATGAAATGTTAAAAGAACTTATCTAAGAAAAAGAAGATGATAAAAAAAATATGAACAGTAAAATGACAATAAACCCACAACTATCAACAACTGAACCTAAAAAAAACAAAAACAAAAAACAAACTAAGCAAACAAGTAGAACAGGAACACAATCACAGAAATGGAGATCACATGGAGGGTTATCAGTAGGGGGGGGTAAAGGGGAGACTGGGGAAAAGGTACATGGAATAAGAAGCACAAATAGTAGGTACAAAATAGACAGGGGGAGGTTAAGAATAGTATAGGAAATGTAGAAGACAAAGAACTTACATGTATGATCCATGGACATGAACTAAGGTGGGGAATGAGGGTGGGAAGGGACATGCAGGGTAAAGGGGAAGAAATGGGACAACTGTAATAGCATAATCAATAAAATATATATTTTTAAAAATTCAGCAGAGAAATAAAAGTTATAAAGAACCAAATGGAAAGTTTAAAAAGATATAATAACCAAAGTAAACAAACCACAAAAATAACACTGGCTAAGCTCCACCATAGACTGGAGAATACAGAGAACACCACCAGTAAACTCGCACAGAGGTAATAAAATTATCTAATTTGAACTACAAGGAGAAAATAGTTTTCTTTTTAAAGAAGGAACAGCGTGTCCAGGGTCACCAAGAAGCAGCAGCCCGCGGGGTGGAGGCCAGCTTGCAGTGGGAGAGAGCCGGGAGAAGGTTCTGGCCCTGTGGACTGGCTGTGGGCCGGGGAAGCTAAGATACGGCAGGGCCAGGAAGACCTAGGCCCCAAGACCGACTGGGGCTCAGAGGCTGAACTTGAAGGCAAAAACCTTGGCTCCCGCAGCAGCATCCGCTACAGCCCTAAGGCCTTGACCAGCATTGATAATGTGTTAGGAGACACAGAACTTATCTGTTGGGTGAATGAATGGAGGGTTTGCCTGGATCACAGGCACACTGCTTTCTGAGGAACCCCTAAAGAATACCCCATTGAAAGCAGGGCCCAGGACACTGAATGAGTGTCTCTCAAGGCTATTTCCACCCCCTTCTAGCGGAGACCCTGCCCAGCCTGAGTGAGTCAACAGGAAACAGAATGATGTCACTTGCTAAGCCTCAGAGGCTTCTCCTTTTTCCAAGGCCACTTCCTGACCAGGAGACTTTTGCTATTTCATAGTTGTCCGTCCCAATGTTTCCATTCGGCCTATGAAATGAAGGACCCCGCAGGGCGTGGTGTTTCTAGAACCTTCCCACGATGTGCTCAGTGCAGCCCAGTGCTCTGCGGCTTCTCTGCTTGCAGTTTCTCCCCAACAAACACAATGGTCCATGGGCACCCTGAGAGGCTTTAGTAATGGGCGGTCCGTGCCCCACGGTCAGCATCCTCCCAGCCCCGGTGGCTGTCTTGGAGGACGACTCCCAAGTAGACAAAGCACTTGAGACAGGAAGAGGGGAGGGACAAAACTGAGGAGGAGGAGAGGGACAGCACCGTCCTCTGGAAAACCCTGTGGACACAGTGTAGACGAATTCATTCTTGGTCCCACCCATCCGGCAGAGGTGCCCAAAGCCATTTGGCTGGTTCGCACAGCATCAAGCCAACCGCAGAGGAAACCAGCCTGCAGTGTAGACCTTGGCCACACCACCCAGGCTCCTGGATCCAACCAGCTGAACAAGCCCCATCAACCAACCATCAGGGATTTCTACCTTAGAAAGCCAGAAGGCTTTCTCTCGGACTAAAGGGTGGATCCCGGTGTGGCAGAAGGTCCCAGCAGTTGCAGACCCCACCATGGCAGGCAAGGAGGAAGTCTGGGAGACTCTATCACCCTCAACAGCCCTGGACAGCAAGCTGAGGCTGCTCCAAATGTTGTCCAGAGACCAGGGGGTGTCGCTGATCACTTCCGCTAAAATTGGGGACAAATTTCACACCATTTTTTGTGATCAGATGACTCCCATTACAGGGAAAATGCCTTCGGGGGTCCCATGCATAGTCTGGGTAAACAAAGGCAGCCTCGTTTTGAGATCTTTGAAGTTGTCTGAGGGCCACAGGATCCACTGGTGGTCCCTATGACAACAACCCTGAGGTACAAGTCACCTACAGGCTTGATAGGATGGAGACAGGTGTGTGATGGGCAGGGGGCAGTCTTGTGGGACTGAGCCCTTAACCTGTGGGACCCGATACTGTCTCCAGGTGGACAGCCCCAGAATTGAGTTAAATTGTGGGACACCCAGATGGTGTCTGAGAATTGCTTGGTAGTATTGGGGGGCAGGGAGGGGATGTATCAGAATTGGGGACCAGAGCCTTAGGGAGAATTCACTTCTGGGTCTTTCTCAGCTTCCAGAGGCCTCACGTTCCTGTGCTCTTGCCCCTCCCCGGCCTTCAACGTCAACAACAGGGCACCTCTCTGGCCAGGCCTCCACAGTCCCCCCTCCCTCTGACTCGCTGTCACCCTCTCCCATCCTCTTCCACTCTGACTAGACCCACCCAGAGAGTCCGGGATAACCTGCCCACCGCAAGGTCCCTAACTTCATCACATCTGCAAAGTCCCTTTTGCCACGCAAAGTGACCCGTTCACAGGTCCGGGGGATTAGGTCATGGACGCCTTTGGGAGACAATTATTCTGCCTTTGACCCCCAGCAATTTAAGACTGGAAAGGCAAAGCAAAACTTTTATAAAACAATTATAGGAAGCAGCTTCCTGCCCCTGGGACTGAGGGAAGAAATTGGAAGCCAAAAATATTGAAACTCCACACTTGGAAGATGGGCACTGTGGGGCAGCAACCCAGAACCCTGAGAAAGGGGTGCATCTCAGCTGGCCGTGAGATTGTGGGGGGCTCGGTGATGAACAGGTTCTGCAAACGGCGACTTCAGTACTGAAGAGCCTTCAAGATGCCAGTGCCCGGAGTCACACTGAAGCCGGGCGGGAGGAGGGCGGCCGCACTCACGAGTGCGGCCAAAGCACTGCCCTCCCCCCCCGCCCGCCCGGGTGTTTTGATTATGGCAATGGCCTGGCAGTCACCACTCAGCACACCCCAATGGAGGGCCACTTATCAGCTTGCAACTGGGCACTGATGGACAATGGGAGACCCGCTTCCTGGGTCTTGTCCCTCCCTGGCATCTCCATGGTGGATAAAGTGGGCCCCACCCAGCAAGCCCATTATTAAATGGAAATGCCCAAGAAAGGAGTAAACCAGCCGTAGATGGACCACTCCACCTGCATGGAAGGGGGCCAGTCACCCCCAGATGCAGCTCTCCTAGAGGTGGGGGCTGGGCCAGCACCCTGGCTCCTCGTGAGCTTCAGTACACTTAGTGCACCAAGGTCCCACTGCAGCTGGCCAAGCATGGGAAGGACCCCGCCTGGTGGACAGATGCGGACCGTGGTGCTTGTCCTGGAAAGCACCCCCAGAATGCGCCCTGTTGCATTTTCCACCACGTGGAGCTGGTGGTAGATGTGCTGTTGATGTCACCTGGCACCTGACAATGGAACGACTGGATGATCGAGTCCAACCCCTTGGGGACAAACCCTGTGGCAGCAGGCTACACGGCACCCATGCCCTCTGCTCATCACACATACAGCCACCCGTGGAAATGGACACTCTGGCTATGCACATCAGTGGGACCAACAGGCTAACCAATTCCGCTCCACCCAGGTAAGACCCCAGCCACCAGATGTGTCATCTCAGGAGGCATCGAGCTACAAATCAAAGCCAGGCTATGTCAGTACACGGTGCCAAGGACACCTGGCTAATGCGCCTGGCTTCCCCGCCATCAAGTGACAACGGGAACCCCCGGGGCCAGAGTCCAGTGCACTGACCCTGCCAGTCCTGGCAGACAGACCCTACAAACCCCCTCCCAGGGTAGCATGGGGTATTGAGTAGAGCGGGTACCTTTCCTGGGCAAGACACAGTTCCCACTTGCAGAGTGAATGCAGGCTGTGCTATCCAAGAACTCCTCACCGCCCAGCTACATAGCGCAACTCCTTCACCTCCCAGACAACACCACCACCCTGGAGGCCAAGAGCACCAGCAGCGGGCAGCTGTGTGGGGGCTCATGAGACACGTCACACCGCGTAGCACCCAAAGGCACAGGTGCCGTTAGAGATAAAATGGCCCTGGCAGTGTGGCTCAGTGGGTTGGGTGTTCTGCAAACTGAAAGGTCGATGGTTGGATTTCTGGTGGGGACACCTGCTGGGGTTGTAGGCTGGGTCCCCTGGTTGAGGGTGTACGAGAGGCAACCAATCCATGTCTCTCTCCCTCTCTCTCCCTCCCTTCCCCTCTCTCTGAAAAGAAATCTTTTTTTTTCCTCCAATGTTTTTAACTTTTTAAAATATTTTTAAATTTTTTTATTTATTTATCTTTAAAAGGGAAGGGAAGGAGAGAGGGAGAGAAATATCAATGTACGGTTGCTTCTTGTGCATCCCCTGCTGGGAACTGGCCTGCAACCCAGGCATGTGCCCTGACTGGGAATTGAACCGCAATCTTTTGGAAATAAATTCTTTTAAAAAATAAAAGATAAAATGAACTCTTAAAAAAAACCTGAAAAAAAAGTGGACCCAAATTGTGGTCATGCCCCAGAAGTGCACCACCCATTTAAATACACTTTTTCATTACAAGGTGCGCAGGAGGCCGGGGTGAGAAAGGCCCACGTGACTGCGGCCACACAAGGAGCCCTTCAGGAGACAGGCCCCTGGGGCCTATGGGCGGCAGAGAAGTGCCTGGTGTGGGAGTCCCACCTGCAGCTTCTCTTACCTCCTGCCCACACTTGATGGGTGGGGCAGTTAGGATGCCGGGTCGATGATCGTGAGTGTGAGGTTCGAGATGCTCTAAAATGGCGCATCGTAATCACCTGGGGACGAACCCAGCCAGTGGGCGTGGGTTGGAAATGGCGGACTTCTCCGGGGGAAGTCACGGCGCAGCAGGCCGGGTCCTGCCGCCCACAGCGGCCGTGAGAGCAGAGCCGCCCAGCTGGAGGGGGAAGGGAGCACCTCGGACTCCGGGAGTCAGAGACGGGCACCGTCCGTGTCTTTTGGCTCCCACGCAGCAGGCCCGGCCCAGCCTGTCATCTCAGAATGTCACGATGCCTTGTTCCTGACTGCGACCACTGCCCTCGCTCTGACTCCTGGGCCCTGTCCTCTCAGACTTTCGGGGGAGGACTAGTGACTTGGGAGGCAGGATGGCGACCCAAGAGGAATTTCCTAGATCGGACTGCTCTCCCCCAGCCCCCAGGGTCTCTCCCTGCTGCCACAGCTACTGCTCTCAGCTGACTGCTGGGCTACCGTCCCCTACACGCCCCTCCCCTGAGCCCCCACCAGCTTCCTTGGATTAATCCTAATCCCTAACTCAAGCCCTAACACTGACCTTGACCCTGACCTAACTTTAACACATCCTTGTCCAAGGGGGCAGTCCAGCCCCTCAATCCCACAGTGGGCAGCCATCCCTGTGGGAGAGGCGACCGCTGAGGCCGTGTGGCCCTCCCTTCGGTCCCAGCTCAGAGCACGTTCGCCATGGGCAAGGGGCTGCGCTGCCCAGCACGGGCTCCCAGCACCCTTGGGGGCGACCTGGATAGACAGAGGCTTCGTCAGGACCAGGGCCCTCCAAGATGCCACCAGCTCCCGCTTGCGGACACTACAGACCCCATTTCTCCTGCTTCCTTTCTCTCTGCCCAGCGAGTGCAGGGGGTCCGCCAGTGCCCCTGGGGGAGAGGAAGCCAACCCTTCTCACCTGGAGGGAGCTGGGACCTTGTTTGTTATGTTCCAGACCGTCACCCATGCATGGCCCGGGGTGGCACCCTGGTCAGTCTGGTGAGGCTTGATGACTGAGGGACGGAGGCGATCCCTGCAGGGGACTTCATGGGGCCGCCCTGTGCCCCTGCTCCTTTCGGAACACCATCCTCACCAACCACAACTGGGTCAAAGGCTGTAACCTGGTCACCACAGGGCATTTCCTCCAGCAGGAGCTCAGTGCCCTGCAGACCAGGGTGTGCAGATGTCACGCCAGACCCGCATCTCGTGGTCAGCTGTGGGCAGGGCCCGGTGCCCAGGCAAGGTCAACCTGAGCCCTGGCATAGACAGAGGGCAGCTGTCTTGTTTCTCTCTCCTGCGGCTGTGCCATCAACTTCCTGTCTATTTACAGCCCAAGGCTGGCCCAGCCTCCATCTCCGTGTGGGTCCCTGCTTGTCCCGGTCACACATGAGGGGCTTCTGCTTGCACAGATGCGCCCTGGCCGGTCTTAAACGCAGACCCGCCCTGGGGTCCAGGGCCCTTCACAGTCCGACCTTTCCCGAGTTGACCTGCTTCCACCCTCGTCTCCCACTGCTGTGGACACAGGCCCAGGGAGAGGCAGCGAGCAGTGTCCCTGGAGGCAGCTGGGGAGCAGGCACCCACCTGCCACTTATCAGTAATGTGATGGGGACGCCACAGGGGTTTTTGGCAAAACCAGAGCCCAAGACCCTTTGTTCTGGTGGCCACATAGTGGGAAATAAGTTAGAGAAAGCCTCACCCCTCCTTCCCGACGGTGGCAGTGCAGGGAGGCAGCCAGGTCTCTAGCCCACTGTCCCACATCATCTCTGAGGTTCACGGGTGCCCCCCTGGGTACCCCCAACCCTGAGGCTCCCAGTGGAGAATCCAGCCTTCAGCTCAGGTGTATTGGGCTTTCTCAGAGCCTCCCTCAGCCCTCCCCTCACAGGCTGAGGTGCATTCTTCGTTTACGAAAGGCACACCTGGAGCCAGAAATGGTGACCGACTTGCCTCAGTACAAGGCCGAGTGGCAGGTTGGGCCGGTAGCTGCGTAAGCACACCTTTCCCCACGCTTCACCCCAGAGCAGGGTCGGAAGGAGGCAGGTCCCCAGGAGACTGCTCCTGGGAAGAAGGCTGGTAGGCAGAGGGGTCACTAGCAGCCTGGAGCCTCTGAGCAGGAATGGGGAAATGGGGAAAGACACTGACAGCGACACGAGAATTTCAGTGACAGCCTAGAAGGACCTCCAGGACTCCAGCAAGATGGGTGAAAGATCCTTTACCCTGTCAAGCCCATTTTACACACTGCCACACTGAGGCCCAGTCACGTGGGAACCAGGATACGGCAAAAGGAAGCCAAGAGGCTCCTCGCCCCCAGCCCATGAGCTATCGCAGGTCGTCATCTGAGACTGGTCTAGTGGCAGGGGAAGGGAAACCGCCAGCTCTGAGGCCATACTTGCCACCCCTCACCCTCATCCCAGTCGGGTCTGCTGCAGCATCTCCCTGCGAGAACTCATCTCCTCTGAGCGCTGCCTGTGAGGGCCCATCCTGCCTCGGCCTTTGGACCATGGCAGCCCCTCTCAACTCCACGGTCTGTCCCGGAGAAGCCGAGCTACCAGGGCTCCCTGGAATCCCGGTGGCTGGGCAGTCGATGCATGTCGTCACTCTGGAGGTGCTCATAACAGGACTGGAGGGAGAGAGGCGAGGCTGATGCCACTGCCCTGCCCACTCCCCGCCACCTGCACAGGCTTTTGGGCCTGACACCCGGGAGAGCCCACTGCCCGGCCTGGACCACAACTAAGCTCTCACCACAGTCTGCAAGGCAATCAACAGGGCCTCCCCTCTCCCGCTGGGCGCAGGAGCAGGCTGGCACACACTCGGGCCCTGTGGCCCCAGCCCCAGAACTGGCAGACACTGAGGCTGTCCTCCAGCTGACGTGGGCAGGACCAGGGCTTGGTGGGGACCCCTCCCGTGGAGGCGCACACGTTGTGAACGTGAGCGAGCTCATCCCCGCAATGGTGGCTGGGGCGGGGAAGGCATCTGCCCCGTGGCCTGGACATTTCTGCCCCTCACCTCCAGGGCCGTGAGCAGGAAGTCGTAGAGGCCCCCCGTGTGGACAGGGTCCATCATGTCCCGGATCAGGTGGATCTCGGCCCCCAGGTGCTGGATGCTGGAGAACAAGCACCCCCGTGAGAGGAGAGTGGGGCCCTCGGGGCCAGGCACCGGGCAGCAGGGAAGGAGCCCTGGCTTGGGAGGCTGGACATCTGTGGCCAGGTCCCCGCTCTGCTTCTCACACACACGGGACCCTGGGGGGGAGCCTGGGAGCCCCCCTCTCTGGGCCTCAGCGTCCCCACCTGCACTACGGGAGGCAGTGTCTGTGGGGAGGGGCCCGCTGCAGCTCACCGGGCCCGCGACACCACGTAGATGAGCAGGGGCAGCAGGTCATCCATGGGCAGCTTGTGCTCCTGGCCCAGCAGCCGAGACACGGTGGCCTCGATCTCCCCGTACGTCCTCTCCAGCACCTCCAGCTTCTCCCGGGGGTCCACTGTGGTGCTGCAGCGGGGCGGCTGGCTCACATCAGTGCCCCCGGGTCCAGTCCCAACAGCGGGGGTCCCCAACACTCCTGCCCCCTGCCCCACCCCGCCCAGGGTGCAGACTCACATGATCTTCTGCAGACACTCAGTCGCTGACAGGAAGCACTTGTCCTTGACCAGGGAGTGTCTCTGTGTGGCAGGGGGGGCAGGCAGGTGAGGCCACAGTCCCCCCAGGTCTGTCACGTCCTCCTCCTTCACCGCCCACCCCGTCCCCATCAGTGGCCTCAGCTCAGCCCTGCCCAGAGGGTGGAGTGACCCAGGGCAAGTCACAGCTGAACTGCAAGCCTCAATTCATGCAACTGTAAAGTGGGGTAAATGGTCGGCAGGAGGCTAGGAGAATCAAAATAAACACAGAAGAGTCGTAACGGCCAAGGGTCACTGGGTGCCCCCAGGTCTGACTGCCAATGTCAACAGCTCTGGAACCCAAGAACAGGGTGAGATACCAGTTCCCAGCTGCCCTCAAGTCTCTGCCTCAGGAGGTCTGGGGTGGGTCTGAGAACCTGCTTTCCTGTCGGCCCCCCAGGGGCCACTGAGGCTGCTGGTGCGGCAGTGCCCGGGGAGGGCCAGCCCCCGCCACGACCCTCCTGTGAGAGCTGCTAGTCCTGCAGCAGGGGTTCTTTCACAGATGAGGAAACTGAGGCACAGAGACCAAACACCAGGCCCACGGTGGCAGAGCCAGTAAACGAGTGGGGCCCTTGTTCAAGCCCGGTCACCTCGGGCCACCGGCTATGCTCTCGGGAAGCCTGGCGTCTCCTCCTTCACACACCACCCCCCCTCCCCGGTCCTCTGCTGCTCCTGACGTGCAACGTAGAAGCGTGAGCAAATCCGGAGATCCAGCTTAGGGCTCAGGCCTCCCCTCCCTGGGGCAAGGGAAGCGCCCACCCTCTCACCTGATTGGTTGTCAGCCTGAGGTCCTTGAGGGGCCACAGGTGCCTGAAATTTTTAAAAAATGAGACAGGAAGCCTTGCCAAGAGGAAGGAACAGGGTGTGAGGTCAGAGAGCAAATCCCTTGTGCCACCATGCCCCCAAAAAGGGCTGAGTGCAGGAAACGAGTCTGCAATGGCACCCCAGGGTGCGTGCAAGGAGCCCAAGGCAAAGGGGGGCTGAGAGGGGTTTCTGGAGAAGGCAGACCTCCATCTGGCCCGAAAATATGAAGGAAATTTGGCAGCTGGAGGAAAGACGCCTGGGAAGCCATCAGCCACCAGATCTCAGGCTAGTGACCAGGAGAATGCAGGGAACAGTCATCACAATGGGAGGGGAAACGGGATGCTGGGGTGGGTGGGAGGCACCATCACTGAGTGACAAAGACCAGCTGTGGGAGCAGAGTGTCCACGTCACCCACAGTATTAACAGATCAGAGGGACGCTGAGGAGAAATGCTACTGTGGCAACTGAGCGCAGAAGGGAAACCTGACCTGCCCCTGGAACGGGTCTCAGTTTCCCCCTGAGGATCTCCCCTCCTCCACTCCCAGTCCAAGAGCCAGGAACAGATGACCTTGGCCCAGCCCCAGTGGTAGACACCAAGGCAGGCCTGGCCAGTGTGGGCCACAGCCAGCAGTCAGGGTGCACTTAAACCCAAGCCAGGGATGAACTTCAGGGTCCCGCTGGCGCTGCTGGGAAGGAGAGACCAGCTCCCTGTGGAGACAGGGGGCGCTGAACTGGGACAATATAGACCTTGAGTGGCTGGTACCATGCTTGTCATCATGAGGGGGAGCTAGAGACAGACCAACAGAGAGAAAGTTGCTTCCCTCTATCATGCAGTTGAACACCTAGATCCAGCCACACCTGAGTGCAGACACCAGCATAACCCTAGAACTTCATTAGTACATGGTCAATTAATCCCCTCCTCTTTTGTTTGCTAAAGACAACTTGAGCTGAGTTTTTATCCTCCACTATAGAGCCCTGGTGAAGTCAGTGTCGGGGGAAGGCTTACTTCTGCACATCCAAGAACTCCAGAAGCTTGGTGTCAGAAAACAGGCTCAGGTTGGTGATGCCCTGGCTATAGAGACTGTCCTCTCTCTCATGAAGAAGCAGGTAGAGAGTAAAGAGCTCCGAGTAGAAGCTGGGCAGTATGAGAGGCAGCACCAGTCCATGCACCTGCAGGTTCCTGAAAGACAGCGAGCAGGACAGGCTGGGGTCCGCAGGGAGGCGGGCTGGGGGTGGTGAGCAACACTTGAGCTGCCCTCCAACGACCCCGCCCTGCCCCACAGTGGTGTGCCTGCCTCCTCTGCTCCCAAGAAAACCGTCTCAAGCCTGTTCTCGGTCACAGCACAGTTGATGGATACTTGTGGCCACCGCATTGTCTCATTTGACTTGGAGACCCCACATGGCAGGTGGGGCAGGATTTTGATCCCGGTGGGACTGAAAGCAAAACCAGGGTGCTGAATGGGCAAGGGCCTGGCAGGGAAGCCCTTTCAGGGCAGTCTGATCGTGCGTCCTAGTTTTCTGTGCTTCCTGGGGCTCGGGGGGAAGTTCTCCATGATGTCTAAGCCCCTCCTCAGGCTTCCTGCAACGCAGTGACAGCAAGGTCTCTCTGATCTTCGGATTCCAGGCCCTGGACACCCTGACAGCATCTCTAGGCCTGGAACCTGAAGGCAGCTATGCAGGTTTGATCTCGGGGGACTCGGGGAGAGAGGCAATGACCAGTATAAGTTCTGCTGGGTGACCTCCGAGGCAGCCCCTGCCAGGCTCACCTCTGTGCACTGCAGAGATGAGGCTGCGCAAACACATTCCGACCAGAGAGACATGCGATACACGGCTCCCCTCCCACCCACACCCCCGGAGCAGAGGCTGAGGGTCATTCTGACCCTCAAAAGCTCAAAAGACAAAGCCAGGCCAACAGCCTCAACTCCCAGCCTCAACTTCCCCAGAGGTGCCCCTTCCCTGAGGGAGGTCCGGGGAGCTGAGGTGCCCCGGGTGGAGGGGGAGGCCCCTGCAGACCCCGTGGGGCCGGGGGCAGCCACCTTGTTTCTGTGTCTTCCTCCTCCTCTGGAGCCTGGCCCTTCCGCTGTAAAGCAACCTGCAGCAGACCCCTGGAAGCCAATGAGGAAGGGACAGTGTGGCTGCCACCTCCCACAGAACTAGCACCCCAGCTGCCCACCACCAAGGGCAGGCGGCCCCACCCCCCTGAACTGTGGGGCCTGAGCAGCAGGGCGCGGCGGGGAGACAAGAGCCCCGCAGCAGAGGGCAGGCGGGGCCCCGGCCCTCTGTGTAACGGCTGACAGGGCGCAGCTGGGCTGGGACTAGAGATGCAGCCTGCGTCCAGGGTCAGGCTCAGCCTGCCGTGGGGTTAAAGTTCCCCTGGGGTCGGGGGTCTGCCCAGGGCCAGGTTGGGCCTTGCCATCATCTCCCCACCCTCTGCTCCCCAGCTGCACGCGGACCAACCCGCCCTCTGCTTGGGAGAAGCACCATTCCTGCCCGGGGCTCCGGGGAGAGCTGATGCTGGGAAAGAGCAGAGCCCACTCCCTGGGGTCTCGGGGCAGTGGCTGCTCATGCGTGCCACCAAACCCACCTGTAGGCGGCCCAGAGCTCCCGGGCATGCTGCTTCACCTCCTCCTGGGCCAGCCCCTGTAGGTGCTTGTTGGCCCCGATGCCTGTGTACGTGGCCTGGAAGGTCAGCATCAGCGTCCGCAGCAACATTCCCAGGGGGTGCAGCGAGCTGCCCAGAGCCTGGCCGGTGTGTAGGCAACGAAGGGGTGATACTCAGGGCGGGGGCTGGAGACTGGCGGGCTCAGACAAGGCCCCCAAGACTACTCCCACTTCATACCTGGGAACCTCGCGGACCCCTGAGGAGAAGGGGCCCACAGCCTATCCCCTCAGTCAGCAACAGGGGCAGTGAGGACCTCCACGGGCCCCACCCCAGGGCCCTCACCTTCGTGAGGTACTGCTGCAGGGCCGCAGGCTCACGGTACCGCAGCACCTCCTCCAAGATGTCTTCCATTCTGCCTGCACTGTCATCCGGTGGGGTCCTGAGGCAGCATGCACACGTCTCTCAGCCACACCTGAGCCCAGGTCCACCCCCTCCAGGAAGCCTTCTGGGTGTCCTTGTGGGCACACAGGCACACGCACCCCTGGGCCTCACCTCTCACAGCACAGGTACTCCTGCGACTTGCGCAGCTCCCTCGAGCTCTGCACGCAGAAGCCTAGCAGAGCCTCCTGCAGGTCCCCAGGGCAGCCGGCGAGCACGAAGTCCCGGAAGGGGCCGTAGACACCCTGCCAGCGGCTCTCCACAGGGAAGGAGCCCAGGCCCAGTTGCCTGAGATGGAGGCAGTGGGGGGCAGTGGGTAGAAATGGAACCGTGGGGGGCAGGACCCTGCCTAGGCCCCAGGAGAGGTGCGGATAGCCTGCATGTCCCAGAGTCAGGGCCCAGGAAGGGTGGATGGATTGGGGGTATAAGTGGGGGTACCGCTGACACTCCAGGAAGAGAAAGGAGAGGATGGGAAGGGACAGAGAGAATACACCCTTTGGCGGAGAGTAAAGAAAGGGCTGCACAGAGCCCTGGAAAGGTGACAGAAAGACCTGGAGAGCAGGAAGCGCAGCCCAGAGAGTACGGTTTTGGCCTAAGAGAGGCCACTGCCCGGAAGTCCAGAATTCCCCAGCCTTGAGACCCTGCTGTCCCTCCCACCCGACCTAGTGCCTTGCTGAGCTTGACCCCATCCCGGCCAGCAGGCCTGGGGGTCTGGCTCTGTGAGTGTGTCCAATGGAGCACTGCCCTCCCATCACACTCACAGATTTCCCCACCTGCACCCCACTGGGCTGGGCCCATCGAGGTGCGCCACCACACCCAGCACCTACTGTCGGGAGCAGTAGCGCTCGGGGACCACAGGTCAGGAGGTCACCTGCACCCTTCCCCACGTCTGACGTGCTGGTAGGTTCTGCGCCCCGTTAGAAGCCCCACCCACAGAGATGCCCTCATTACTGCAACACCAAGTCTTCCTCTTCCACTCAGCAAGTTTCCTTCTTCACCTTGCCTGCCAGGGAACTCAGAACTAGACTAATGATCAATCACAACCATTATAAGGCCTATCTGCACCTCCCTTTTTTTTAAGCTCAACTCACATTTTTATTTTCTATTTTATTTTTACTTGTTTTGTTTTTTAAGCTGTCTCATACCCTTCCTAGGAAAAATGCAGGGTCTAAGCAAAGCCTACTTAGAATATTTTCCCCCAATTTGTAGCATGTGGCATTGTCACATGACCCTCGAGTCCAAGAGTCTCTGGCATGCCCTGGCTCTCTGAACTCTCCAAAGAGCCAAGAGGAGGCATGGAAAAGCCTCTCTGATGAGACCTGAGTCCTTGGGGTGGAAACACACAAAGACGCGCCATCAGGCTCCGGAAACCCCAGCCAGACCACAAGGCTCTCACCTCTTGCAGGTGCTGCTCGGGTCGGGAGGGGGGGCAGCCGTGTCCAGCAGGCCCTGCATGTGCAGTCCACTCCCAGCCCCACTGCTAAAGGAGCCGTCCAGGGTGAAGCCGTTGGGGAAGGTGACCTTGCACTGGAAGCCGGGAGAGGGGCACAGGGATGTCTGTCCAGGCGCCCTTCTATCCAATCGTGGCAGGTCTCGTGCCTTCCCAACCCAGGTGACAGAGACTCAGGACTGGTGGGTGGCCTTCCCTCCTCCCATTTAATCTTCCCAACCCTGAAGGAGCCAGGCTCCACCCCCTACAGAAGCTCCCCCAGCAAGAGCTGTGCCCATCTGCCAGGGGACCATCTCTGAGGGAGGAGCCAGGGACAACAATGGAGATTAAAGACTCGCAGCCCAGAGTGGGAGAACCACGGCTGTGGGGCTGCGGCGGGCATGCCCAGAGGTAGGCAGGGGCCTGGCGAGAGCATGGGGCACTACTGGCCCCAGGGAGGGGCAATTCTCTGTTACACGGGGCTGCCCCATTCCCAGCACTCCTGGTCCCCACCCAACGAATGCCAGTCGTAACAGAACCAAAACAGCCCCCACATTTCCAAAGGCCCCATCAGGGACTCCGCTGCCTTCTGCTGGGTCAGCCGGGCAGGAAAGATAGTCACTGCAGGCACCACCCAAGGCACTGAGGACGGGGGTGGAGCCTCAACTAGCGGGCCCATGGTCGGACAGCCAGGAGACCAACAGCACCCACTGTGCCCAAAACAAGCCCATCACCCCACCTCGACTCCCACCAGAGTCAAATCGCACCTCTGCAGAGGGAGGGCCCCTGGGATGCATGGAGATGGGAGAGGCCCTCCCTACCTTCTCACCCACTTCCCACACCCTTGGCCCCGGGCCCCAGGCCCCAGGGGCAGGTTACAGACGCCAGTCCTGGCCTTGGCAGGGAGTGGGGTTGGCCCTCACCTTCCCCAGTAAAATCAGGTCCCTGGTGAAGGTGCCCTCGTACAAGGAGTCGTCTTCAGTGAGGAGGATCCCGGGGCCCTAGGGAAGGAAGCCGGGAAGAGAAGTAGGTTCTGAAGGGTCAGGAGACGTGGGGACGGGGGCGGTAGGAGAGGAGAGGTGGGCGCTGATTCATCCCCATGACAGGGTCTGACAGGGTTCTGAGCCCCGTCATACCTCCCAGGACTGTGGGAGGTGGCACGCCAGTCCTTGGCCTGCTGTGCACTGAGCATGCTCCCCAGGGACCTTGTCCCGGGTTTACCCTGAACAGCACCCTGGGGCCCTGGTCCCTCCCCACCAGGGGCCTCGCTCAGAAGCCCTCCCTTGGCTTCTATGGCTCTGGAAGCACTGTGCTTCTGCTGAAGCACCCCCACTGCCCTGTCACACTTTGGGAGGGGACAGTGAGGCAGATCAGACGCCCTTGCTGCACTGGCTGGCAGGAAGCTCAGAGCCAAACAGGATCCAATCTCTGTTCCACTTATTTCTGGATCTATTTTACATGCCCATCCTTGTCTTGTCTTCCTCCTTCAACCCCTCCCAGAACAAAGGGCAGTACAGACAGACAGGCCACAACAGCAGTGACAGGCCCCAGCAGGGTGCCGGCGGGGCAGAAGCTGAGGGCCGGGTGCCTCGGCTCAGGGGACCTGGGTCAGAGTCTCAACTCCGCCACTCACTAGAATGTGACAGTGGGCAGGTTGTCTGACCTCTCTGAGTCTCACATTTGTCATTCATACACAAGGGACAATGACGTGACCCGCAGGGCTATGGGGAGGTCCCAGGAGGTGGAGTTGGGAGACTGAGACCAGCGCTGGGCCTCAGTCGGGGTCTGCACACAGGGGCTGTGCAGGCCGCTGGGTCTCCACACCGCACGCCTCGTTCCCACTATTTTGCTGAGCCTTTCCCACTGGTAAAGACTACAGGTGGGAGACCCACCGGTAGTTAGCCTGAGCTGCCGACAGGGAAGCTGAGGCTGGGAGGGGCAGGGACTCGGCCAAGGCCAGGGTAGGTAGGCAGCAGAATGGGACTGCTGCCCAGGTTCTGGCTCCGTCCAGCAGCTAGGAACCCACCCAGCTTCCCGCCTCATCCGCCCCTGGCTGGCCCAGCTCAGCTTCGGAGTCCCCGGAGGGCCGGGCTCTGGGGTCCAGCCCACATGCAGGGCAGGGTGGCTCGGGACCCGTGCAGGTGACCCCACTCACCACCATCTTGTCCGCCCGGAAGTTCCCCTGGTAGCAGGCTCCTGCCTGGGTGACCATGACCCCCGGGCCATGGCGCTGGTCAGCCCGCCACATGCCGATGTAGCGCTCGCCCCTGGGCAAGAGGGCGAGTGGCCAGAGTTGAGTCAGAATTGTCCCCCTGCCCCTTCTGTGTGCTCTGCTGTCATATGTGTGTGTGTGTGTGTGTGTGTGTGTGTGAGCATGTGTGTGGGGGGTGCAGATAAGGATCAATGACATCACCTGAAACTACTCAACTCAGACAAGAGGAAGGTAAAGACAGGAGGGAGGGCGCGTGCCTGGGGAAGGACATCTTGGTAGGCTTCCTGGGGGAGGTGGCAGGAAGGACAGAGGGAGTGAGAGTGCCATTCACACCGTGCAAAGCCACGGAGGCAGGAGTGTCCGACAAACAGGCGGGGTCGTTCAGAGGACTGGAAGGCTGGAGGGGAGCACGGGTGTCCTGGCAGGAATGAGGTCAGAGGAGCTGGCAAGGCCTCCACTGCCAGCCCAGAGAGCCCAGGAGGGCTGGGGCCCTCAGATGGGACCAGATCGGGGGTCGGACACTCCCCTCAGCATGAGGAGCGGCTGGAGGTGCTTCCTGAGCCCAGAGACAACCAAGGGGAGCAAACAGGCTGAGGGGGACAAACAGAATAGACTCACGCCTACAGGAAGCCTGTGCTTCGAGGCCGTTTGTTCTGTGAGGGTCTTCTCTGCCCTGCCTCCGCCGATCCTGGGGATGGCCGTGGGGTGCTCACCTGTCACTGTCCTCCTGGACGCCATAGCCGCTCCTCTGGCCCCTCTCCCAGTGGCCCGTGTACTTGTAGGACTGAGGGAGCTGCGGAGCACTCTCGAGGACCCCAAAACCGTGCCGCAGGCCCCCCTGGAAGTAGCCTTTGTACACCTCGTCAGTGCTGTGCCTGGGGAGGATCACCAGCGGCTGGCCCGGCCTCCCAGAGCTGGGCCCAGGGGACGCGCCTGCACCCGGAGCCCACCCGCCACCAGGCCAAGGGTCACTTACTCACAGATGCCATAGCCACACATGCTGCCTTCCCGCCAATGGCACTTGTAACAGTCAAACTTGTCCTCAGAGGCCTGAGGCACCAGGCAGATGCCAAAGCTGTCGTGTGGGTGGGCCAGGAGAGGAGTCAGCAGTGGCCCCCGTGCTGACCCAGGAGTGTCCCTGCCTCCAGGGGCCTTCTCAGACGGTGGGAGAGACTCACAGGTGCTCAACCCGGCTCTTCTTCGCAAGTGCCCCTCTCGGGACAGCCCCCTCCATCCTTCCCCCGAGCACCCTGGGTGAGCATTCTGGCCCCGGACCACTCCCTCCATGGCCCGCCCTCTGAAGGGCCTTGGTTTCCCTTTCATACAAAGACAGGAGCTGGACCAGATGGCCTCTAGGTCCCTGCTCGGGTTTGGGGATTAGGATGAAGGAAGGGTGGGAACACCGGCAGGGGCAAAACCACTCTCCTGCCCACACCCCACACACACACACACAGGCCCAGCCTTACCCATGCTCCAGGCCCTGGCAGAAACTGCCCACGTGATTCCGCCCGTCCGGCCACCTCAGGGTTCCCCTGGAACACAGGTGAGGTCCACAGGCATCAGGCCCACCAGACCCATCTTTACACCGAGGGGACCCCTGCCAGCATCTGGTTCTGACTGTCAGGGGCCGGGGCTCCCCTCAGGCTGGACTCTGCCCCACCAGCCCTCTTCTCTGGGCTCTGGGACCCCAAGGGGCTCTCCGTCTTCTGCCCTGACACATGGCCCTGGCAACCTGGAGGGGCCCGGTCACCACACCCCGTAGGGAGAGCTCTGGAAACATCCAGGTTCCCTTTTTTTTTTTTTTTTTAAGATTTTATTTATTTATTTTTAGAAAGATGGGAAGGGAGGGAGAAAGAGAGGGAGAGAAACATCTATGCGTTTTGGCTTCTCTTGTGCCCCCAACTGGGGACCCGGCCTGCAGCCCAGGCATGTGCCCTGACTGGGAATCCAACCAGTGACCCTTTGGTTTGCAGGCTGGCACTCGATCCACTTGAGCCACACCAGCCAGGGCCAGGTTCCCTTTTTCCCTTGACCGACAAGAAGCTCAGAGCTAAACTTCGAGCCCAAGCCAAATGCTAATCACTGGGGCTCCTGCCGCCCTCCTCTCCCCTTCTGGCACGGCACTGTCTTATCTTTCTTCTTGTTCCTAAGCATCTTTGAGCCCTTTCTGAAAGCAAGGAATTGGGATATCAGAACTAGACGTGCTTGCGAGCGTGACCTTGGTGAGTCCCTTTTGATTCCTAGGCCTGACGGTCTCCCCAGCTGTAGCACCGGGTGGGGTCACATGTTCTCCAAAGCCCGCCTGCCTGTGGGGCCAGGCTCACCCTACACCCTGCCCTGAGGCCTCGGGCGAGTCATGCCGGTCTCGGGCCTGTTTCCACACCTACAGAGTGGGAGGCACGGCTCCCCCGAGCATCCTTGCGAGGACCAGTGAAGACAGGATGTCTGCAACCCCCCGGCACTGCCACGCAGTGCTAGGCGGACGTGAGGACCACTCTCCGGCCCCCTGGGAACAGCCTGCGGGCCCTGCAGGCCGGCCACCAGCACTGGCCCCACACTCTTGTGTCACAACAATGGGAGTTTATCTGGCACACGCCCACCACAGGCCAGGTCCTGTCCAAGAGAAACCCTGGGGGGCACACAGAATTGACCAAGTGACCACCGCGGGTCCTGCCTGCCTCCCGCCCCCGGGGGAGCCCTGGTCACTCACTTGCCATGGGGCCTGCCCCGGCACCACTCGCCCTCGTAGGTGGCCTGGCGGAGCCGACCCTCCGCCAGGAAGGTGTACGCTGCGGAGCGGCAGGTGGGGGTCTCGGAGGGCTCCTGGCCTGCCCCCAGCACCGGGAAGTCCTTCTTCCCACGGAGGGCCTGGCACACGGCCTGGGTAACCTTCCACTGCCAGACCGCCTGACGGGACAGGGGAAACACAGGGCGGGTCACTGCCGCCCCCTCCAGGAAGCCTTCTGGGGTGACTCCAGATGACCCCCTCTACCCCCCACCTCCAGCCCCACTCGGAGGAAGCGCCGCCTGCTCCACGCTGCTCCCCAGGGTCCTCCATCCATCTGGACCTGAGCCCCTGGTCGGCAGTCTCAGGGCCTGCCTGGGGGGCGGGCCGGACGGAACCCCAGGCAGGGACCACCACAGGCCCCAGTGCCGGCTCCACAGAGAGGAAGGCCTGCCTCTGCGTGACTGATGTGTGGTCTCGGGTCCCCTGGCTCTCCCCGACCATGGTCCCAGAGGCCCGGCAGCCCCGTGGCGCCCCCAGAGTGGTACACTAAAGCCCTCCCCTCCCTGCTTGCCCCCTTCCCTCACTCCCTTGGCCCGCCCCCCATTCACAGTTCACCCACACTTGCCTGGTCCTGGGGGTTCTTGGAGGAAAAAAAGAACTCTTCCTCGGGTGTGAGAAGGTGGAACCTAGACAGACGGAAGTGAGCAGTAGGCCCCAGTTCTGTCCAGGAGGGTGCTGAGGAGGGCCCAGGTCGAAGCCTTGGGGTGCAGGTGGGTTTCACGGGACTGAGGGAGGAAAGGCCTGGGGTGTCACTGGAAGAGGTGGCTCACCCGTCCTGCTCAGGATCCACCCACACCAGCTTCAGATCAAAGGTGTGGACGCTGTGGCCCTAAAGGAAGACAGGGCACAAGTGTCGTCCAGAGCCCAAACCGTCCAGACGCTCACTGACCCTTCGGGCCTGGCCTCGCCCAGGCAAGGTGCCCTCAGACTGCTCGGCCCGCCCGGGGGAAGCCCGGGGTTGGCCTCCCGCAGTCCTGCTCCATCACGGCCAGCAGAGGGCTCTCCTGGAAACACAGCTAGGGCGTCAGCCTCCGCTGGGAACCTCCCTAGGGGTCCTGCTTCCTCAGAGGACCGAGGCTCCCTGCTGAGCCCCCCACCTGAGGCCACAGAGCTCGCCCAGCTGACATGCCCTGCCCTGCCCACCCGCCCTCTCCGCGCCACTGCCTCACGGCCACTCCACGCTAGACCTTCTTGCACTTGCCCCGCCCTCTCCTTCATCTGATGTTCCTTCTACCTGAAATACCACCCCTGCTCCGACAGGCAGACCGAACGCCCCTTCCCCTGAAGATTTTCCACCCAGCCCAGGCTACCCGACCCCTGCCCTGCTGCCACAGGATGGGGAGAAGGTGCCAGGCCCAGGGCTGAGGGAGAGGGTACACCAGACACAGGCCAGGGAAAGAGGGGGCCCAGCAGAGATGGGGAGACATGCAAAGGTCCAGAGGTGGGGAAGGGCTCAGCACACGTAAGTGACAAACTTCTTCGGTGTACCTGGAGCACAGAGTGAGGAGTCAGGAGTGGAGGGGACTCAGACCGAGTCAGAGCAAGCCCCCAAACCAGGCTTCAGGGCACACAGGTTTGGGTGGGCCAAGTGGCATCTCCCCCTGTCTACGGGAGAGTTCCAGACTGACCTTCCAAGGAGCACAGAAGACAGTGGTGTGGCTGTCACAAGGGCAGTATGAGTTCAAGGGGACAAAGCACAGGCAGGTTACTGCCATGTCACGACCCCAAGCCTGGGCCTGGCTCTCCCTGGCTTCTGTAGGCCGAGGGCCCAGGCCCTGCTACTGCATGAGAGCCTTCTCTAGAAGCCTGCCCATGCCCTGGGTGGGTCCTCCAGCCCTCCTCAGCCTCCACGGACCACCCAGGACCCGCCACCGGTGGTCCCTCTCCTAACTGAGGAGGGGGACTGAGCTGTCCAGCACCTGCTCAGTTACCCTGTTTTCCAGATGAGAACCAGAGGTGAAGACATTCGCGGGGACCCTGGCGGCCCTGCCATACCGCCCAGGCTCCTTCGGCATCACACCCACCTGCTGCCCGACCCGGCCCTCTCTCTTTCCACCCTGGCACCTCCCCCATGAGCCCGTTCTCACTCCCACCTGCTTGTCTCTTTCCCACCTTTTTCAGCCAGACCCCAGGCCCCCACTGTGACCACCAGACCTCTGGTCTGCCCCACCCAACCTGCAGAAGGACGAGGACGTCATCGAAGAGCAGCACACGCTCTGCCCGCAGCGGGGTGACCATCAAGGGGATGTCCTGGCTGTCTTGCAAGAGCCGGTGAGCAGGGGTGCAAAGAGCATCCTGGTGAGGGAGGGGGCGGGGCAGGGCTCAGGCACCAGTCCCGGATGCAGCCTGCCACTCCACTGCCTGCCTCTGCCCCCGACACACGCCCCCAGGTCAGTGATGGACACTGATGGACGGCATTGGGGCCCCAGGGTCTGGGGGGTCGTTCCCAGCCACCCCAACAGGGTAGCATCACTGTGTCCTTCCCCCACCCGCCTCAAGCCTCAGCCCCACCCAAGCCCCTGTCAGCTCTCACCTGGGGTTCTGCAATGCCCGCCTCCCTCTGGCAATTCTTGTCCATGCCCCCCCGCCATAACCTGTTCTCCTGATTCTCCACCCTGGCCCCAGAGCCTGTCATACCCTCTCAGGGCACAAGGATCTGTCCCCCCTGCAGGGACATGGGGATGCAACCATGTGGTGACATCCCAGGAGACAGGGCCAGTTCTGCTGACTGCTCCTGCCCACAGCAAGCTCAGGGCCCAGGAGGTGCTCAGCAAATGAGTGAAGATGGCTAAACAGAGGGACTGCGCAGCCACCAGGTTCGGCTGCCACCCGGCTTCCAGATGGGGACGCTGTGGCCCAGAGAGCACCGAAAGCAGCTCAGGCAACCCAGCAGGGCCCTGCCCGATGGAACTCACCGTCAGCCGGCTGCTCAGCGTGTGCCAGAGGGCCTGTGTGGCCACAGCCTGGTCCAGCGCCTGCCTCAGGAAGGACTGCAGGTTCCCAAAGAGCGAGGCTGCGTGCACCACCAGCTCCCGGGCGGGGTGGTGCTGCAGGGGACAGAGCAGCCAGGGCAGGGGGCTTATCAGAGCCGCCCCTCCTCTGTGAGGGCTGCCCCAGCTCACTGTCTACATCCAAGTTCACCTTTTCTCCCCACCAGCCCCACTTCAGGGAGCAGCCAGCGTGCGGGTGCTTGCCAGGGAGTTGGGACTGTCCCTCCACCCCCAGCCAGGCCTGCACCCTGGGCCCTCACACCCAGTACATGGTTCCACATCAGCTCCCTGGGTCTCTGCCAGCTCCTCCAGGGCTGGGCCAAGAGCCTCGGCCACCCAAGGGCAAATGCATGCCTCTTAAAACCCCCCAGAATAGAGCCAGGTCCCCAAAGCCTAGCTAGGTCCTTCTCAAACCAGGGTCCCTGAGGACAGCAGGCATCCTGAGCCAGAGCCCTGTGTCTCCCCACCCCTGGCTTCCCCACAGGCGACACGCCTGGTGAGCAGCGCCCGGCCACTCACATCCCCGATGGTGTCCGCCAGGCCCAGCAGCAGGGCCACATACTGCTTCACGTGTTGGGTGAGAGGCTGGCGGAGGACCTGGACCAGCGCAGGGCCCACCGAGACCTCGGAGCTCAGGCCCCACAGGAGCTGCCGCAGCACCTTCCGCTGGACCCGCCAGTACTCGCTGAGTGGAGGGAGGGCCACGCGCCACCGTCACTCCCCCTCCTCCATCCCCGCGCCCGCCACCATCGCCTCCCTGCCCTGCCGGAGCCCAAACCTCTCCCCTAGCAGGTCAGTGCACAGCCTGAGTGGCCCTCTTAGAGAGTCAGTGGCACTATCTCAGGGTTTCAATGGGTTAGTGACTACAACCATCCACCCCAAGCAGGACTGCCCCCTTCCCCGCCCCAGGGTCACCCCTGGCTAGTGGATTTGGGGAGTGTGCTCTCAGCAGGTTTGCCTCCCCCTTCCGGTGTGGATCAGAGAGGAATTTAGAGCCAGGAGAGCCCAGGATGAGTCACTGGCAGGACTGTGACGGCACAGGGCTCCGGGGCGGGGCCTCCCCAGCCCAGCCCTTCGGGACACGTACCCACCCAGAGGCCCTCCGGCGCTCACCTCCTCCACTTGGCTGCCTTCTGAAAGGCCTGCACCACCACGCAGTTGGTGTAGGACTCGATGTACCTGCGGGCAACACAGGGGGCACCCTACAGGCGCAGCACCCCGCTCCTGACTCCACCCTTGCCCTCCTAGGGTGCCCAGATCCCACTCATCGAGTGGCCGCAGCCCTGGCTCGGGGTCCAGGTGCCCACGGTCCTGCCCGACCCAGTGGGCAGTTCCAACTCACAGACTCTTCCTTCCCGGCAGGGCCCCAAGGCTCAGGTCTGGGGTGTCTCACACGACACCATACTGATGCCCAAGCCCACAGAGGCCAAGCTCAGATGGGTCTCCCACAGGTGAGCCCCACACCCAGCTCAGCCCAAACCTCTGCCCACATGAGCCCGGTGCCAGGGGGCTCTCTGACCGCCCTCCTCGCCGTCTTACTCCACGTGGACCTGCAGGACGTGCTCCGCGCTGCACAGCAGCAGAACGGACTCCAGGCCAACGGCGTCCGGGTGGCGCAGCCGCTCCCGCAGTGAGTGCAGGCTCTTCCCCGTCACCTCCCAGAGCTGCTGGGAGCTCTTCTGCAGCTGCTGCAGGAGCCACTGGCACTCTTTGCCCTGGGGGTCCGAGGGCTCTGGGGCAGGACCACAACCACACTGTGAGGGGCGAGGGGCTGCCCCACCTTCCAGAGAATGCACACGGGGCCCCAGGCGGCAACCTAGGGCCAGCGGCACCCCACAGCCCAGAGCTGCAGCCAGGGTCCTGCATCCCGGGGTCCCTGGGACAAGACTGGGAGCCCATGTGCCCCTGAGCAGGCAGGCTGGGGTGGTGAGCAGCACCCTGAGACATAAATACAGCACTATCCACCTCCTGCTGCACAGGGACAGCCCCAGTGACCTCAGGGCACCCAGCTCATTAATGGCCCAACTCGGTTTCCTAGGACCTAGGATGTGGAGTCCATGGGGCCCTGCAGTCCCTGCCACTCACAGATGCAGGACAGAGTGCCCCCTGCTGACCCCGAAGGGAGGCACCTGCCCCAGGACACTTCACAAGTGAGACCCAAGCTGGAGGTAACACATGCCTTCCTGCCCTGCCCTGGGGGTCAGCTAGATAAGAACTCAGCCAGAGAATCCAGGCCTGTGCCCTGGAAGATGCAGAATTTCATCCCTGGGCACAGCTAGGTCTGGACTAGGATGGGGTTCATGGCCTGGCCCCTCAGGGACCCCAGAGAAAGGAACAGCCAGCCACTGGGAGCCAGGACCCTAGTGCCATCAGAAGCTGCAGCTCCAAGGGCCCAACAAGGTAAAAATCAGGTCCTTGGGACCATTCCTGCACCTCCATCCTCCCCCTAGGAGACCCGAGACTCACCAGCATCGAGCAGGGGCACGAGGACCTGTCTGTTGATTCGGTCAAGAGTGGCCAAGAAGACCTCCTCCACCCGCAGCAGGGCCGCCTCCTGAGGGCTGCACATGGCCAGGGGCTGGCCTCAGGGCCTGTGAATGCACCCGGATTGCAGCGAGACAGCAGCGGGCTGCAGGCTCAGGGCCCGTCCTCTCGGGCATGTCAGAATGGAGCAGTGAAGCCGGGTCACTTCAGAGAGAAGTTCCCGGACTGGCCACTGCCCCCTGCCCACCTTCCACCTGGGCCCAGCTGCAGGCAGCCTGAAGGAGTAGGGGGCAGGACTCAGAACCACCAGGGAAGCACCCCTGGCCTGCTGGCTCCCGGGCTCAGTTACCTGCCCTGGCTCCAGGGCTCAGAGTGGCATCTGGAGGGTTCTGACCGAGCCCTCTCTCCACCGAGTCTCGGGGAACAAGGGCATGCTGTCCAAGGAGCCCAGCCTTTCTCTAGGCCATGGCCCAAGCCTCCCCATCCCCCAATAGGGCTGCGTAAGCAAGGTGATGTCTGGGGGGGCTGGGAGGTGCTGCTAGAGCCATGAGGGATGGGCAAGAAATAAAAAGGCAGAGAGGAGGAAAGGCATGCAGGTGGGGGACCATGAGAGCAGAGGGCCCAGGCTCTGCGGGTGGCCCGCCAAAAGTACCCTAAGTGGCCCACGGAGGAGCCATGGAGGACCTCTGAGCAAGGGAGTGGTGCCAGTCAGACTTGGGGATAACTACAGAAGAGAGGGCGTGAGGTCAGGGTGTGTGGGGGCCTAACTCGCCATGCCCCCCAACCTGCCCGACCCTGATGGCTGGATTCTACTCAAGACATGGGTGCAGGCAGGTGGGCTCGAACCTTTGGACTTCCTGCCCTGGAATAAGGAATCCTCCAAGCAGGCAGGGATCACCTGAGCGGTGATCCACCTGAATGCAGCCCCCTGACTGGAGGGAGGGACAGTGCGGGGCCTGGGCTCAAACTGGGCCCCACAGCCAGGCCACAGCCTCCAAGTGCACACAGCCCTCTCACCAGACCTTGGTGCCCTCACCTGGCAAAGGAGGTCATCTGCCCAGCTCTGCCCTTCCCTGGCACTGACGCTCTGAAGCTCTGGACTTAGCTGACCTGGGTGGAGCAAGAGACAGTGCAGGCAGCCAGTGATGGGCAGGAGGAAAGGGGCCCCATCCCTCTGCTTCCAGCCCCAAGGAGCCTACAACTCCCAGGACATTGGTCCTGGGGCAGAGTGGGACAGGCCTGGGAACTGTGGCCAAGGGTGGCGAGCCAGGCATTCCAGCCCCACCTTTCCTGCTCCTGCTGCTTTGGGAGGGCGAGGCCTGAGGGGAGGGGCAGGAAGAGGAAGTGGCTGGACGCCCAGCTGCAGCCTTCTCTCTGCAGGCCCCTGCAGCAGCCCCAAGAACCCCCACCCAATCCTTAGAGGAGGGAGGCAGGTTGCTCCAGGTCAGCTCAGGCAGGCCAGCAGAGCCCAGCCAAGGGGTCAGCGTTGCGGCAAATACGGCCTGGGCCCACGTGACCCTCACCCAAATCTCCAGAAACTGCTGGAATAGAAAGGCCCGTTGGGCGGTGACCTTCCCGCCCTCAGCTGGGAAGCAGGCAGCTGGGGTCTGGGCTGAGAGGTGAGGGCTGTGGCTAAAGGTGGGGGAAGGAGGGAGCAACCTGGATGGGAGGTGTGGACTGGGGACCAGATCAGGGTGAGCCAGGAACCTGCAGTAAACACCTCACTGCTGGGAGCCTCGAACCCCAGCACCCCCACACTCACCTGGGGCCTGGCAGCAACCCACCCCCCCCACTTCGCCCACCACCGCCACACTCAGGATTCGGAGCTCTCTGGCCCCCTCTCTGTAGCTGGCAGCTGCTCCCCGACCCTGCAGCTATGGCCCGTACCTCACCAGCTCCCACAGGGCCGCCGACCCCCTCCCCAGCTGTTCGGTCCGGCCATGCCCTCTCTCATCTGGGGCCCTGCTGCTCTCTGGCCCTCAGTCACCTCCTGTCAATCACCTACCTCTACTAGGTCAGAGCTTCTCAAATACTCAGTTCTCCCCAAAAAGGATAAACGGGGGGAGGGGAATGGCTCTGGGTTTGGGGACCTGGTCCTCAGCCTCCCTTGCCTCTCAGAGCTGCCTGGGCCCCTGGAATGAGCCTCACAGACCCGATCTGTGGCCCTAAACGGGTCTCTAACCCTAGGAAACTGAGTCACACAGACCAGAGGAAAGGCCAGAGGTTGGGCGTGGCTGGTGAGGTGTGGGTGGGGGCAGGCTGCCATGGAGGCTGAGGGCCTGGACTGGTGGCTCCCAGGTTAGCAAGCTTTGGGCTTCATCCTAGAGGTGAGGAGGGTGTGAGGCAGGGGTGAAGCCCCACAGGAGTATGTATGAGTCTGTGTGTGTCTGCAGGGGAGGAGGAGGGGAGGTGCTGACCTTTAATAGAAGAGGGACCCAGCAGGAATTGCTCCCTCTCTCATCTAGCCCCACTCCGATGGCTGTCTCACCCTCTCCCTCCAACCAGGTCTAAGGCTCCTTGGTGGCAGGCTGCATGTGATGTACATATGGGGAAACTGAGGCCCAGAAAGGAACAGGGAGCCCAGAAACACTAGCTGTAGGCCTCTGGCTCCCAGTCCCACCAAGCTCACCTGAGCTAAGTAGTTCCGAGAAGTTGGGCAACTCACCTGAGGGCCCACAGCAAAGTCCTGGCAGAGCCCAGACTCCTACCTCCCCAGGCAGCCCTAACACTCCCCAGGGGTGGAGTAAGCACAGAGCCGGCCAGTCCAGGCATGCCCAGGTGTGAGAGCCGCCTGTCCCGGGTCAGTCTAACCAGCAGTGAGGCCTGCTCTCTCCCCTACATTTCTGGCTTCCGGCCATAGTGGGTCCCTCTCAGGCAAGGTCACTGGGGCCTCCCCTGCCCTCTCCGAAGCCTGGCTCCTCTGACCCCTCAGCCACACCCTGTCAAGGCACCCATTCTGGTATTTCCTGGTCTGGACAGGTGAGGAAGTTCTGCTTAGTGTGGAGAATTTTTCCTGGGCCACCCTGGAGCCCCCTTGATGAACCAGCAAGCCCAGTGGTAGACAGCTAGGCAGGGGCTGACCAAGGGAGGGGGCTTGGACTCCCCCACCATCCTCCCTCTCCCCTCGCCCCCAGAACCCCTGCTCTGCCCCTCCGTGCTTCCAAGCTTCTTGTCCTAGAGGCTGTTCCACTCCCACTCGGGTCACACACTTCACAACTTCCCCCCCTCTCCCTGCCCAGGCACACGCAGACACTGGAGTTTCCCAAACATGGGCTCCCGTTCAACTCCCAGGCTCGAGTCCACGCGGTTCTCACCGCAGGCAACACCAGTCAACGTCCCCTCCTCCGGGCAGTCTCTCAGGCTAGGTGAGGCCGAGACCCGGCACCCCGGCCCAGGTCAAGCCCCAAGGCGATGCGCTCCAGTGCAGGGCTGGGCCCCGGGAGGGGGGGGGGGGGCAGGCGGGAAGGGAAAGGGCTGCCCCTGAGCTGCCCCTAAACCCAACAGAGCCGGGTGACCACAGGGCAGGGAGGACGAAGCTTGAACTCCGAAGGGTCGGAGGGGACCTTAGGACAAACTCGCATCGCCGGGACCGACCAGCCATAGAGGGACTGCGACACAACGACCCGAGGGGGCGCAGAGGCGAAATTCCCACCAAAGAGAGGAGAGGGCGGAGCAGAGGTCCGCCTACAGGCGCGCACCTCCGCCACCCTTACCTGCGTGACGCTGTGACCCGCGCGGGATGAGACCAGCCGCTGTACCGTCACGGCCGCCCGCACGCCGCCGCCGCCGCCGCCGCCGCCGCCGCCGCCACCGCCCGCCACGCCCTCCGCGCCACGCCCTCGCCACGCCCCCTCCTCAATTCGCCACGCCCCCAGGAGTTCCTCTCACCTTCCGGAGCAGCCTGCCTGTGGGGCTCACCTTGGAGGAGGTGGGACGTGGTGTCCGTCCGCCTTCTGTCCTAGGTCTCTCTTGAAGTCTCCCTCCAGTGACCTTCCGGGTCCAAAGGCTCCTGGGACCCAATGTGGGGAACAGGGAGAGGAAGGGGATGAACTTGACCCTTCCGCCCCCCCCAACACATGGTCACTCAAGCCGCTCAAGCCCAGGCTCGCCTCACTTCCTGGGGACAGGGCTCCGAGTAGAGCCAGAAGGGGCCTCGGTTTTCTAACCGCCCCCCCCCCGCCCCCGCGCCTGGCAGGGCCTTTTGGGTCCCCCCTTGGCCTCCTCCCCATTCTGATGCTCTGCTGGCCTAGGGTGCAGCCCATGACCCTGACCCTCACCGAGTCACAGAGACCTGCACAAGCGGAGCACTGGGTGGGTTTTGTGAAACCTGTGGCCGTGAGTGAGGTAAACTGAGGCTGCCCTGCCACCCCTTGGACCAGGTGGCCATGGCCAGCCTCCACTCTTATCTGTGACCTTGGGGAAGTCCTCCTCCCCCCACTCCTGGGTCTTGACATGGCCTGATAGAGTGTGAAGCCAGTGGTTGTCTGCACCAGGGCCTGTGACCTTGAAAAGGGTGGTGTAAGCCTAGTCCCGAGGACCTCGGGGAAGGGGAGGGACCGGGGTTGACGCCTGTAACAAAGGAGCCTGCTGTCTGACCAGGTCCCCCTTTGGCTGCTAGGCCAGCTTCCCATCACTTCCCGTAGCTCACAGTTTCTGGGGAGTGACCAGACACACGGGGCCACCTCTGCCTTTTTCACCACTGAGAACATCGAGGCAAAAAGGGCCATCCAGAGGCAGGCAGTACAAGAGAAAAAAGGGTGGCCCACCAACCCCTGCTGAGGTCTGAGGTGGCGGCAGGCATGTCTCATCCCTGCCAGGCGAAGAGAAACCCTGGTAGAGAGGGTGCACGGCCAGTTCCACGGGTTCCTTAGCAGATGGGCAGGGGCTTGGGAGGTCTGTGGGTCCCCCGGCACATGAGAGTGGGCAGGCAAGGGGGTCTCTTGGGCTTGGGAGGAAGGGCCAAGGGCTGGAGAGTATCCATGGCCACGTGGGGAGAGAGCAAGGTCATCCGGGAACCTGTGTTCTCACCACCGGTGACAAATGGGGTAAGCAGGGCCCTTAGCAGGAGGGATCTCATTCTGTGCTGGATGTCTCTGTGACAGCCCTTCCCCTCTCTGGGCCTCAGTTTCCTCATCTGTACCTGTAGCCAAGGAAAGACAGTTCTGCCCGGACTCAGGCAGGAAGGGAACGGCCCCGGCAGCTTCCTCCCCAGAGCTCAGACTTCCTGTTTAGCCACAGCTAAGGGAATTGGAAGACTGGGGGCCAGTCTTCGCTCACCCACTGCCCACTCACTGGGTGACCTCATGGGCATTGCCAAGCCCAGTTTTATTATCTGCCAAATGGGTTATGTCCGGCCCAGCCTCTATCCAGGCTCATCCTTGGCTCGGGGCCAGGTAATTTGTAGTGGCCCAGGTAGTGCCCAAATGACAAGCTCCTCTGGGTCCACCTACCCTGGGCCACCTGCAACATGGCCAATCCCACCCACCCCCACACCCCCTGCTTGCATGTGTGACACGGCAGTAATGTGGTGACGTGTGCACTCACTTGTGCCAGACAGACCCATGTACTATGGGACTCACTGGCAGGGCCTCAGTGCTGCACAGTCAGGGGCAGCCCTGCATACAGGCTCACGTATGCAGACCACGTCCACATGGACGCAGACTTACACACTGCTCCATGAAGTGCACGCTGAGACTCACCCTCAGACACACATAGGCAAGTGCACTTGAAGTCTTGCGCACACACATGCCTTGGGACACTGGCTGGTGCTGTGCACACGCAGGTACCACCCAGGCCCAGCCCAGCCCCAGAGCTATTCTGAGCCGGGCGTGGGGCCAGCAAGGTCAGAGACTGCCAGGTCCCAGCAGGCTCAAGCCACTTGTCACAGGCCCAGGCTGCCCAGACCCCACCCCCAGTCCAGGCTGAGCCCACCCTGACTCCGACTGGGGGGAAATGCCTGCTTCCTCCTCCCTGTTCCCTCAGAGCCAAAGCTTAACCCCTGGGGTTTCAGGCCCCAGGAGAGAACTCTCCGCAGTGTCCCCTGCCGCTGCCGACTGACTCTACTCATGGCTTCCAACCCAGCGGCGCTGGAAGCAGGACTGGGTTCCTGCAGGAAACCCTCAAGAGCTAAAAATAGCACACAAGGGACAAGCAAGGTTCTGCAGGCCTGCTCTCATGCTACCACGCACGAAGGGGACACTGTCTTCCAGGGAAGCCAGGTGCTCCGCCACCCCGAACCTGATGGGCCCAACTGGGAGCAGGGTGCGAGGGGCAGAGGGATCTCATGAGCTGCAGAAACAGTGCCGGACAGCGGGCAGAGCTGGGGCTGAGGGCAAGTTGGGAGCCCCAGTTCCTGAGTGGCCTGAGGCAGGACGCAAGCCCTCTCTGGGCCTCGATTTGTCATGAGTGAATAGGGGAGAGGAGTAAAGAGATGAATAAGGCTTGAGCTTTCAGGATGCTCCTCTCAGCATGGTGTTCACTCGGGGAGAACCGGAAATAATGCAGATGTCTGATAACGGGGGCAGGGGGTTCTTTGCAGTGTCTTATCTGGATGTGGCCACCCATTTTGCAGGTGACAGTTGAAGCTCCCAGCGGTGAGGTCACCCCCCGAGGACTCCCAGCTGTCAAACGGATTGTGTCCCAGAAGTCTTAGTTCCAAGCATTGAAGCATCAAAACCTTCAGAGGTTGTAATAACATGAAGCTACCGATTTACAAGAAACATAATTTTAAAGTTTAACTACTTAAACTTTCTCTCTGCTAATCTAGTGAATTTTGGATGATAGCTATTTTTTGTGGACATTTGTCAAAGACATTTAAATAATGCAACTTTCAAATGGTGTTTCTTGTAAATGTGTAGCTTTATACTTCTGAGGTTATTAAAGCTTCAAAGTGCATCAAAACTTTCAGGACAGCCTGTGACTGCAGGTAAGTGTGACTTCAAAGCCCATGTGACAGGTTTGACGGTGTGTTTGGGGTGCAGGTGGCAGTGGGGGGTGGAGCTAGGGTACCTGGGTCGGGTAAAAAGCTCTGGGGAAATGTACATGGTAAACAGCGCACAGTGAGATCTCAGCTGTGTTCGGGAGCCTGTGGAGAAGTGGGGACGACTGGGGACCCCAGTGGCCGTTTCAGAGGACAGTGGGGACATATGTGATGTATTCCCTTTCAGATTTCTTCATGGGACTTGCCCTGCTTCTTGGATGGAAAGATGAACTTCACGAAAAGAATGACACCCCGCCCCTCCTGGGCTGAGCCATCCTGTCAAGGAGAGCCGGCACCCCCATAAAGGTCCCTCGTCGTACCCTTCCTCAGCCCTGGGATGACAGTCTCGCCCCCATCACCCCACAGATGAGGACATGGACGTGCAGAGGAGCAATGCTATGCCCGAGGCCACGGTTAGGTCCACTGACCCCAGCCCCGTCCAACCAAGCCCCCTCTGACCCCTACCCTAAGGGTGAGCCCATGTTCCTGGCTGGTCAGTGTGGCCTTCCCTAGCCTGGCCCACGACAGGTGGCGTGAGGAAGTGGGGTGCGAACGGAGAGCGCAGCAAGTGGCTTGGGCTCTGGTGGATCCCTGTGTGCCTGGGGAGGATGGGGTGGCCCAGCCCGCCAGGTCCCCCAGACGCGGTCGCCCACTGGCGAGGGTCTCCTTGAGGGGTCCCCTGGGCCAGGCATCTCTGCCAGTGGCTCTCTCCTTTCCCTGCCTGCCCCGTCGTCTCCCAGTCCTGACACCTGTGCGTGTTGAAGGCTGGCCTTCTGCCCTCTACTGCATCAGCCTTGGTCCTGGCTCATCTACGGCACCTCCCAGCAAGAGCCCCACAAGCCTCTGGATCTGTAGAGCACCCGGTTCTGAGGGTGGGCCCGAGGCCCAAAGCACCCTAGCCTGCTGGGGTTCAACACCTGAGCTGCTCCTCCAGCAATCAATGGGAGGGGGGATGAATAATAATGGGAGGAAGGAAGGAAGGAAAGGAGGAAGGGGGGAGGGAGGGAGGGAGGGGAGAGGAAGGAAGATAAAGCAGAAGAGTCTCCCCACCCAGGCTGCCCACTCTTCCTCCACAGTCCTTTCTGGGTCCCAAGGCCCCTCAGGGCCTCCCTCCCTCCTCCCCTGCACCCCTGGGTTGTCAGGGCTCACCCTGGGGTCAGGACCACAGTGAGATGTGGGCCAGGTTCAGTGTGAGGTCAGGGTCAGGGCTCAGCTTTGGCAGAGGCTGAGGGTCAGCCAGAGCCCGCTTTCCCCGGGGGAGCCTACCCTGTCCCGCTAGCTGCAGATACCGGCTCCTTCAGGAACCTTCCCCGGCACCCACAGCTGGCAGCTCTGCCCATGTTATCCCCTGCCCCCCATCCTCCACCCACCCCAGCTCTGGTGTCCAGGGTGACCAGAGCTGCCTCTGGGCAGGAAGCCAGCCCAGAAAGCCCAGGACATCCCTGAGCTCCCGTCACCATGGCAACATGCCTGCCATGCCCCCCTCCACCTAGGTCCTGTACAGTGTTTCAAATTCAGAACGTCAAAATGGGAAGGGCCTCCTAGATCAAGAGATTCCAGCCCCTCCCTTTACCCCAGATGGAGAAACTGAGGCCCAGTGGGGAAGGCAGGGTGGGCTCTCGTCCGTCCAGGTGGGGGGGGGGGTCTGGAGTCTGATCCTCCCGGAGGGGGCGGGCCCTTCCCCGGCTCCTCTGTGGGGGCAGGCGGCACCGCAACCAGACACCAGCGATGAATAAATGATGCTCACTCGCAGCCTGCGACCACACCGCCACCGTCGAGCGCCAGCTGGCCTGGGGACCGTCGCCGGGCCTCCAAGCATCGCTGGGCTCCCGGACCTGCGGCACTGAACAGCGGGCGGCTCGAAGATGGTGGCCGGGCGGCGGCCGGGCACGGGGCCCCTCTGGGCGCTGGGCGGCGCTGCGCTGGGGGTCTGCCTCGCGGGGGTCGCCGGGCAACTGGTGGAGGTGAGACCTGGCGGGGGCGGGGGCGGCTCAGGGGGGCTGTCACCGTCCAGGCGGAGGACGGGGTGGAGGGCCTTTCTGACCGGGACCTGCGTTTTCCTTTCCTCTCGCCCTGGGAGACCTGGCTTAATGAGGTGACCTGCCTGAAACCTTGCAGGCTGTGCAGAGACGGCCGCGAATCTGAGGGCCCTGGTGTTATGGGTGGGTGCCGCTCCTGACTCCAAGGACATGCATCTCATAGAGGACACTCACCCTGACCTGGCCTTAAGCATTCTCTGTCTGACTGGGGGGTACGGGGTGCCGGCCTGTTGGGGTCACTCAGCACCTCTCCTCTAGTCCCCGGGTCTGATGAGGGCCCTGGGGTGAGGGGCGCATAGTCCTCTAGTCTGAGAGGGGGACCTAGTTCCTGACCCTAGCGACTGCTGAGGAGACAGCTTCTGCCCCAGAAGACCCTGCAGGGCCCCCTGCCCAGTGGGGCAAACACAGCCTGGGGAAGCAGGTGGGAGGGTCCCAAGCTGGAGGCCGGGCACAGGGGCCAGGAGACCCTTTGTGGAGCAATCACAAGTTGAGCTGGATGCTCGCTGAACGTTCTGCCTCACAGGGAAGGGGCGGGCAGGGCAGGACTCGGCCTTAGGCTCTGTCTTGGTCCTGATGATAACAGGGAGCTGGCAGAAGTTCCTGGAAGGGAGAGTTCCTGGTTTGGACAGGAGAGAATAAATCAGAAAAGGGCAGATTGTTGGAAGAACTGGGAGGAGCTCTGAGAGTGCCCAGGAAGAGGGGAGGAAGATGGCTGGGTGTTTGGCTGAGAGCCTGGCTGGGGCCAGGAAGGGCTGAGAGGGGCAGGCTGGGGGCCACCTGCAGCCTCCCTGGTCCCTCTGTACCCCGTTGCTGCTGAGCCAGGAAGGGGTGTCAAAGAGGCAGACCAGACCCAGAATTCTGGAGTGTGAGGCCAAGAGGCAGGGCCAGGAAGGAATGAAGGATGGAGCTTAGGAAAGCAGCTCGCGGAGAGAGCAGGGCGGCCCTCGGGAGAGCCCTGAAGTGTCAGGTGAAGGAGACAGGATGGGAGGGGAAGAACAGAGACTTATCCTGGAGGTCTCAGGGGACACAGCCCTGAACTGAAGAGTCTGGGGAATATGGCTGGGGACAGAGCTCTGCAGCCTGGTCTGAGCCTGGCGCTGCTGCTGACCAGGGTGTGTGATCGGAGGGCTGGGCTGGAGTCAGATATCAGCTCCAGTGTCCCTGTAAGGGGAGTCCGGCTGGCTTAGCCCCACGGCATGTGTGTGGGTCCTTCACTGGCTGCCCTGAGGCCTCAGGTGAAGAAACTGAGCTGGCCTGGGTGCCGGAGGGCCTGGGGATGGGTGGGGGCTGAGTCAGTCCTCAGCCAAGGACTCTTCCCCAGCTCCCAGGAGCGCGTCTTCTCCCAGCTCATTAAGGAAAATTGCATTTGGGGTCCATCTGCCTGCCATCATCCTGCAGCCTGTGCCGGGGCCTGGCCGAGCCCAGGGGATCCAGGGAAGCACCCGAAAGATGGGCAGGGCTGGGGTCCCGGGCACCGCCACCTGAGCCCTCCAGGCTTCACCCCTCAGGCCGTGAGGCTCTGATGGAAGCCGGGACCTCCAAGCTCCACAGTTCAGACCTCCGGCAGTGCCTGCCGCAAGGACATGCCAGCCTGCTACCCGTCACCCTCTACTCAAGCCCCTGCCACCGCCCTGACACTACCAATGCATGCTGACCACACCCACAAACGGTGCCTGACCCTGTGCCCCGCCCCCCAGGTGCACCTTACACCACACCTGTGCCTGACCCTGCATACATGTCGTACCCGCCCCAGTTCACCCTGGTTAAGTGAAAAGAGCCGGAATCGTGTACCAACCCTGGCACAAAGCACCTCTGGGTTACCAGGGACCCGTCATCTCCAAGTGTCCCCAACACATGCCGAAGGGTGTTTATTTAGTGAGGTGCCTGGCTTGTGGGAGGTACTCGGGCCTCCAGACTGCCCAGAGGACAGACTGTGGGCTGCCTTTCCCTCCCAGGAGGCCAGAGAGACTCCTAGGTGTGTCCTTGTCTGGTTAACCAGGTTAGGGCACCTGTTGCAGAGACGTCCCAGGTTCCTCTCTCCTTCTAAGCACTAATTCCCACCTCAGCCAACCTTGGTGACAGAGGTCATATCTCTGTCAGTCCCACAGATCAGGGACCAGTCTTGATCAGACCCCTTCACCCCACCCCAGGGCAGGGCCGTGTCCCACTGGGAAGGCAAGAGGAGTCTGGCGCTGCTCTGCTCGGGATTTACTCCCGCCGTGCTTACATCTTTTGGCCTCCAGGTGTCGCTGCCGTACTGTGAACAAATTATCTGGTCATGCCTGTAAAGACTCTGCCAGCCTTCTGGTCAGAGGCAGTGACTCTGGTAGGGGAGGCAACTGTTGAGGTCACCTGCTGGGGGACCTAGCCAGGTGGCAGAGTCTCAGGCCCAGACTGCAGCTCCACATCCCACCCCACACTGAGGGTACCTGAGAGCAAAGTCCAGAGGGCAGCACAGGCCTTGCCTTGTCTCTGGCCTTGGTCCTGAGTCCCCACCTACCTGTGGGGGCCCTGGCTGCAGCAGGAGGAGAGACCCAGAGGCTGCCTGAAGGGGCCTCGAACCTGGCGGGGACAGGCTGTTCCTTTCTGTCCCCTTGGTTTCCCCAAGCACCCTTGCAGTCCCAGTCCCAGCTCCACGGGGCTCTGCTCCCTCCTCTTGCTTTCAATCAGGAACTCCCCAAGGTCTAGGGCATTGGTCATGATTCTAGGAGAGTCTGAAATGCTCGCACTGAGTCCTCGCTGAGACCTGGGTCTCTCTCAGCCCAGCCCTGCCCCGGCCTCTGCCCGGCTCACTGCCCTCTCTCCCCATCCACAGCCCAGCACGGCTCCGCCCAAGCCCAAGCCGCCCCCGCTGACCAAGGAGACGGTGGTGTTCTGGGACATGCGCCTGTGGCACGTGGTGGGCATCTTCTCGCTCTTCGTGCTGTCCATCAGTGAGTAGCTGCCCCCGCCCCGCCCGACACGCAGTGAGAGCTCAGCGCCCCGGCCGCCAGCACCACCCCCAGGCGCTCGGGGCAGCAATTCCGGGCAGTGTGAGCAGGCCAGGCGCCCGCAGGAGGCCTGCTGCGGCTTCTGGCACCTCCGGCTCCACACAAAGTCCCTGTGGAGGGCTGACAGGCGGTGGTGACCTGAAGTATTCTCCCCGGCCGGGGATGCAGCCACAGGGCAATTACCGTAATTACAGGGGACTCCAGGAGCCAGGACGAGGACGTGTCATTTTTCCCTATAGCGGGCCTCCTGATGCTTTTCCTGCCCTTCAGCCAGCTTAAAGGGCCCACACCCAGGGGCCCCAGCAAGGCCACCCTGGCCGCAGCTCAGCCTGGAGACTCCCCAGATGCCCAGCAGATGTGTCTCCCAAACTGCAGACCCTGCCTTGTCCAATACCATTGCCCCGAATGACTCACACCCACCTCAGTTAAAAGCAGGAGACCCCCTTCTCTCCCGGGTCTGGGCACCCTGCTTTCAGCCCTCCTTCTCTGGCCAGGGTCTGGAGTTGGGTGGAGGGGGCAGAGAGATGCCAGCTGAAGGTGGGGGGGGCCACCGTGGCACTGTGTCTGAGGAGTTTCCTACAGGCCACAGGCAGTGGGGAGCGGCCCCCACAAAGACTGCAGAGAGGAGGGGTCCCCAAGCTGCCTGTGGGGGAGCGTGGGTGGGGCTTCCGGGGGGCTGCTGGAAAAGCACCCTGGGCAGAAGCAATGTGTGGGCACGGGTCTCAGCTAACCCCTGCAGGATGGTTACAGAGGGCACCCCAGGCTGGGGCTAAAGTGGCATTTAAGTCCCAGCGGAGTGGTCCTGGGTGAGGTCCCCTAAGGGCAAGGCCCCCCACACATGTAGGACCCGAAGGGTGACAGGACACCAGATTTGCATGTGCTTCTCTCAGCACCAGAAGTGCCCTCCCCATGAGAGAACGTCCACCTCCCTAACCCCCGCCATTGCTTCTTGCCTGGGTGGGACCAGGATCTGAGTGGGAGGCTGCGCTGTGTTCTTAGCCAAGGCCAAGGCCCAGTCAGGCTGCTGTGCAGGGGCCCCACAGACAGACAGACGCAGCTCCAGTGTCCACGGAGGGGCTTCCCCCACCAGCAGACAGGGCGGGGCAGCATCGGCCCTGCTGGGCCACAGGAGCAGTCTAGGGTGGGAGAGCAGGGGGCAGCTCTGGGACACCCGGGGAGCAGGGGTAAGGGCATGGTGGGGCCTCAGAACACACAACGGCCTCTCCAGGGCTCTGCTCAGCCCCACGTGGTGGAGATGCCCGGAGCCCAAAGCAGCACAGGGACTTCAGCCACACAGACTGACCCCGGCTCCTCACTGCATTTCGTAGAAAGAGTAAGGATGGTCCCAAAGGCCCCTGAGCTGCAGAGCAGCACTGGTCACCTGCACGCAAGGCCCAAGGGAACGGGGATGGCACAGCTGATCTCCTAAGGAGGCGGCAGCTTTCCTGCCCCCTGGTCCGCTTGGGCCTGGGAGGCGTGACTGCTACAGGAGTATCCCCCCCAGGCCTGTGTGAAGAAGGGCTGGGACTGGGTGGGGTGCCTCTGGGGATCTCCTCAGCCTGGGGCCTTGTATCCCAAGCCCCTGTCTGGCCCTGGAACTCAGTCCAAGGCGCTGCCTGGAGAGAGGGGCCAAGTTTGAGCCCTGCCCCGGCCTCCAGGGGCTGCCCCTGGGACTCCCTGGAAGCCCAGGCCTGCTGGGTGTGGAAGCAGTCCTTGTGGAGAGCTCCCGAGCCTGCCTGGTCCCGCGGAGGTGCCCTGTGGGTGGCTGGGAGAGGCGGCCGGAGTCAGTGAGGTTGGGTTGGGAGAACAGCCTTGGGCATCAGGCACACACACCAGGGTCTGGAGACCAGGACCCAGGGCTTTGGCTCAGAAAGGCCTGCCGTCTGCTCAGGTCTCCCTGCAGACAGCAGAGTCTCCTCAGACCTGCTGTTGGGGCTGATGCAGCCCCTCCCCAGAGCAACCCTGGATGCTATTGCCCACTCCATCCATCCATTCATTCATTCATCCATTCATTCATTCATTCAGGGGTCCAGTCTTGTCCTCAGCAGCAAAAGCTTTGAGACCATCTTTCTCATCCATTCATTCATTTTTTTCCTTTGATGTTGTGAGTCTGTGAAACTCAGTGGGGCCATAATGTGTGGCCAAAGTTGCACAAGACGCCTCCAGACGGTGCTCCAACCCAGGCCACGTAGGTCCGGCCCACCTTCCCCAAAATATGCCCGGCTTACCCTGCCTGGCCTTCCTGTCCCCAGGAGTCTGCCAGAAAGTCATGTCTGCTCATCTGATTTATAATAGGAAGTAGCTCCATTCCCTCTCCTGAGGCTGGGGTCAAGGTGGTCAGACTTGGAGTTGGGGCGTGGGGCTCAGAAAAATAAACTCAGTCCAACCAGGTCCTGGCAGCCCTCCCCTGACCTGCCGTGTCCCTCACCGGACCAGCCAGCTCCATGCCCTGGCCCAGCTAGCGTGGGTGCAGCCGCCCTCGGCAGGAAAACCGCTTCTGGAATAGCTCTGTCTGAGGTGAACGCCCCAGGGCAGGTCTGAGCCCTTGCCCCAGTCACAAGAGGCGGAGCCCAGGCTGGGCCTCTGGGAAGCTGAGGAGGGTGCAGCTGTGTCCCCGGGGTCTGAGGCCACGCTGGCTCTGCCCTTAGGGGCCTGGGGGGACAAACTAGGATGCACGCAGAGCCCACAGGCCTGGGTTGGAGGCACAGGGCGCCTCCGGGAAGCAGTAGCTTGAGTCACAGCATAGCCGTCTGCCCTGCTCTCCGGGAATTCTGTCCCAAGGGTCCAGGATCAGACAGACCGGTGCCGAGTGAAAACGTGAGACCCCTGTTCAAAAATGATTCAGAATTCAGAACAGTGAGAGCAGAGCATTCACCCAAGCACCAGGCCCTTCTCAGAGTGGGGCGCTCTGTGAGTGCACGAAGCCAGCCCCACTCGGGAGGGAGCTTTACAATCCTGGGGACCACCAGGGTTTTGGCACGAGGCGGAGCCTCCTGGCCCAGCCTCTTAGGTGAGCGCCCCCAGCCGGATGAGGAGTCTGGGGACCTTCCTGGCTGTCTGAGCCCAGCCCTGGCCAAGCTGCCTCTGTGCCCCTCCAGTTATCACTCTGTGCTGTGTTTTCAACTGCCGCGTGCCACGGACCCGGAAGGAGATCGAGGCCCGGTACCTGCAGCGAAAGGCAGCCAAGATGTACACCGACAAACTGGAGACAGTGCCACCCCTTGATGAGCTCACAGAAGTCCCTGGAGGTGAGCAGGCCAGGACACCAGGGGACAGGAGTTGGTCAGAGGGAGGCAGGTAGAACCAGGAGGTGTCATGCAGTGGGGAGAGGTATGAAAGAAGGAAGAAGTGGGGGCTTGGGTGTGGGAGACCATGGTGCAAGCCTTGGCGTGCCTACTTACTCCGGCCACACATCTCTCTGCTCCACAGATGATAAGAAGAAGAAAAAGAAAAAGGACACTGTGGACACAGTGGCCATCAAGGTAGAGGAGGACGAGAAGGACAAAGCCAAGAAAGGATAGAAAGGACGACAGCTTCCTGGGGACAGCAGCTGAGGCTGGCAGGCCTGGGGCTCACGTCCTGGCCAGGGTCCAGGTGTCTTGGACTGCGAGCTCATCCACGGACCGCAGAGGCTGTAGAACATCCTCTCTCTGCTCAGAGGGAGTTGCTGAGGCCCATGGCCATGTCCTTATGGCCAATCAGGGGCAGGGACGAGACTGCAGGTGTCCTGCCTCCCAGCCCAGACTCCGCTGCTTTCACACCATCCTTGTGGCCATGCAGCAAAGCTGGTCCAAGGTCGCCATCCCTCTGTACGTCCAGAGCAGCCTCCCCCTGCCCCTTACCCCCTGCCCCCAGACATGGCTCCGTCCCACCCTTTGGCCAGAAACAGCAGTGGCTCTAAAGGGGCAATGGGAGGTGGGTTTGCCTCAGGAAAGGCGCATGAACTGGATGCATGCCGGGAAGCTGCGGCAGCAAGAGGTTCTCAGACTCGGCTGGATAGCAGTCCTGGGCCGAGGGGTCTGGCCCGAGCCTGGCGGGGTTTCTGGCCTGCTGGGGTGAGCAGAGGTAGCCAGAAGCAGGAGCACCCCCAGCCCAGCCAAGCTCCTGGCAATGGCATGCACTTACTTTACACTGTGTTATGGAGCTGAGGCTGCTGGGAGGCCAACGTGAGGGGCTGGGGCTGCCGGGTGGGGGTGCAGTCACAGGCACAGAGGCCAAGGCCAGCAGGCCAGGGGGAGAAGGGAAGAAAGCTGGCACCGGGGCCCCATCTTAGGAATCCAGGGAGTATCTGAGTAGTCAGGGGTGGGGGCGGCCCTTGGGCTGCTTGGGGACCCGTTCTCTGCTCAGAAGGGGTCAGGGCCCGGCAGGGTCACCAAAGCGGGCAGCGAGGGGTGGAGGCGGCTCCTTCTTCTATGAAGCATTCTCAGCAGCACTGCCTCAATGGCACGGCTGATGGGAAGGCACAAGGGCCCTGGGAGACTGGGCCTGCTGGGATGATAGGTGCACAGAGGGGCTTCCAGGGGGTGGGGAGCAGTAGCTGAGGCCTCCAGACCTGGGCCTGGAGACTAGGGAGAGACCAGGAGTTTCGGAGCCAGGGGAGCTGATGGAAAAGGCCCCGCTGCCCTGCACCCCCACAGGTTTGTAAATAAAGCTTAGTGCCTTTTCATACCCACATGATCAGGAGTGAGCCCTCAAGACACCCCGTCCTGGAGCACACGTGTGAGGGCTGATGCAGCCACTGCTAATAGGTTCCGGAGGCCAGACCGAAGTCCCTCCCCTGACTTTTCTCCAAGCCTGAATTAGGGCGAGCTGGAGGGAGAGACCGTGACCAAGAGACAGAGGGGGGCCGCTCCCGCCAGCTGGACACAGCCAAGGCAGGGCCTCAGGGCTGGGGGAGCAGCCGGCTTCCCCCTCCCCTCCCCTTCTCCCTTTGGCTTCCAATGGGCCTTTGACGGCCTGAGCCCAGTGCTGGGGACACACAAGAGTCAAACCTGAACCCTGACCAGGAGCAGTGAGAGGGCCAAGGGTTGTGGCAAAGGTCATTCTGTCCCTACAGACCAGAGCCCTCCTGTGTGGCTGGGCAGCAGACGCCCAGAGGGGCAGCTGGTAAGGCCTGAGGTGTCCAGGCCCAGGCTCTCTGACCTCTGACCTGGGCCCCAGTAGCCCTTTATGGTCAGGCAGGGCTGCTGATGGTGGGATTAATTTCTGACCCCAGTGGGCACCTGCCCCAGTCTCCAGGGAGAGGGTGGCACTGGAAGGTCAGGGTCCACTATGGTGCTTCAAGACAGTGACGGGGTGTGTTCTAGCCACTGGCCAGGAGACAGGCTAAAGTCAAGCAGAACCCGACTCCCACTGGAGTGTTCCAGAAAGAATACACTCAGCTCCCTGGCCCACGCAGAGTGACGCCCTCACCCAGCTTCACGCTGTGTTCTGGCAGCACCACCTTTGGCCCGGACGGTGTCACCCAACCTCGATGTCATCCCTGCACACACGCTCCCTCCACCTTCTGCAGGAGCCTCCCCCAACCTCGGGATAGAGGGGGTCCTGAGCCTCGGCACTTTGCACTGCTGGAGCCCCCCCAGCTGCCCCATCTGTTCAGTCATCTCCCTCTGGAGCGGGCCCAGGGGGTGAGGGGCCTCCAAGGCCCAAGGAGGAGGCGGCGTGGGGAAGAGAACTGTTTAATTGAGCATCTAGCTCCCACCCTGCCTTGTGGCGACGGGAGAGTGGCACCTGCAGCGTTCTGGGTGCAGAGGCTGAGGGGGACCCCCAGGGACAGCCGAGCGCGTCAGCGGGCGGCCAGGAGGCTGAGGGGCAGCGGCAGTGCCAGTAGCAGGACCCGGGATGGGGCCAGCAGAGCCTGCCCACTCATGCGTTCCCAGATCCAGTATTTGTAGGCGGAGATTCGCAGGTAGATGGGTGGGGCCTCCTTCTTACCGCAGCCTGGGCCCCAGCTCACCATTCCCACCAAGTACCACGTGTTCTCCACGGGACAGGCCAGGGGCTCCCCGCTTATCTCCTGTGGGAGGGGCAAGAGGGTCAGGGAGGCTAGAAGTGGCCCAAGGGAGATGTGACCCGGCTCAGGGGCCAGCCGGGCCCTCACACCAGATCTCCCCACAGTCCCCAAGCATCGCAGGGCTGAGAGGGGCCCAGGAGACCCTCTGCAGAGGGCTGCATCTTCCTTCTCTCTGGTGCCGGTCCTCCATCCCCCCTTCTTCAACCCACCCTCCTCCACCTTCCACCATCACACTGCCCCCTCCCCCACCAGACCCCCATCTCTTTCCCCCACCCCCTCCTCTTCCCCATCTGCCTGCTCCATCACCCCACTTGTCCCCTCCTCCCCCTCCTCCCAGTCCTGGCCAGGTGCCACGGAAGTCCGCGAGTGGAGGTGCAGGGCTCACATAGCAGAAGTGTTCCCGGTCAGTGTCTTCCGCACACAACATCTGGGTATTGATGATCCGAATCACCAAGGGGATTTTGGAGAACTTGTGGTAGAAGCTATCACACTGTTGGCTGCTCAGGATGGTGACTTCCTTTTCCTGAATGGTCCGGGACTGGGGCCATTTGCCTGTGGGACGGGAGCCCTGCTCAGGCTCGGTGGCCCCACTGCCGCCCACTGCCACCGGCCTTGTCACCGACCTCCCTTTGCTCCTGGCCACTCCCCCAGCCTCTTCTACCTGCCACCCAGAAGCCCTGGAGGTCTCTCCAGGTTCAGCCCACCTGCCATGCCAGCCGACTTTTCCCAAGCACCCTGGAGACAGAGATCTTGGGGCAGGCTGCCCACCCTCGGCCTTGCTGGGCCTCACTCCCCACAGAGCCCATTCCTGCCTCGGCGTCTGAGCTTTGCCTCGCCTTCCACTCCGAATGCCTGCCAAGCTCCCCCACCCCCCCTCCAATCCGTCCTTTTCTGCAAGCCCTCCTCACAGGCCTCTCTCCCCACTGAGCTTGCCGGACGCCCCTTCCTGGGTTCCCCGCACTTACCCCCCTCCCCTCCTCCTCTCTCTGCCCCTGGCCTGAGTGAGGAGACAGGAGATTTCCAGCCATTCCCCAAACAGTCCACGACAGGAAAGACCAAAGGCCACACCCCTCCTCTGGGCTGGTACCCCTGTGGGGTGTTTTTAGGTAAGTTGGCTACGTGAAGCTACAGGGAAGGGCAGCTTTCTGGTGGGAAAGGATAGGGGACCTAGAAGGGAGTGGATGTTCCTGGGGCTCGTGAGGAAATGGACCCTCAGATGACCTGGGGCAACACTCCCCCTTCTCAGGCCTTGCTCCTCAATTGGGATGACGTGGGATTGAGGACCAAGGGGGGGGCACCCAGAGTGACTCCCAGCCTCTGGACACAGACAGTCCTTGGCCGGCCATGGGGGGCTCCTCTGGGGAGCTTTTCACAGGTACAGAACCCCACCCCTCACTTTGAAGGACCTGCTTCGAGCCATGGCCACCCCGGGTCGGTGCAGACAGCACGCGCTTCCTCTGGGCCCCTTCTGCCCCAAGGACGTCCTGTGTCCAAGCCTTGGCCTGGGCCCCCGTGTTCGCCAAGATCAGTCTCTGTCCCCAAAGGCCTGAATGACCATGGTGCGCTCGGCAGTGAAACCCTCCCGGGGAAGGAGACACCGGGTACCAGAGCCCAAAAGGAAGGGCAGGGCAGGGGGCTGGTGGGAACAGTATCGCTGACACTCAGACACGTCTGTCCCTGCAGACCCCAGCCGGTGCCCAGGCACTTTCCCACACCACCTGGGGTCCGAGGTGGGGGGGGGAGGCTGTGACTCACCGTTCGCCTTAGGGAGCCCCCAGCCCGTCACAGTGCAGAGGGAGTGGGTCTTCACCTCATGCTCTATCTCAGGCAGGCAGATGGGCCAGACGTACTTGCTGAACGTGAGCTCCTGCTGCAGCTGCAGGAGAGCAATGTTGTGGGCCTGGCCGATCCAGGACCACAGGCGACGGGCCCGGAAGCGTTTGTTCATGATGACCTGGCGCACGGGGACGTCGGCGGTGGTCTGAGCCACCTGGTCCATCTCGGGGCTCCCCACGCGTACTGAATAGTTAACATCTTTCCTGGGGGAACCACCAAGGGAGTCCGCCATCAGCTCCAGGCACCCCGCCCGGCCTCCACCCCATTGCTGCCCTCTGGGAAGATCCAGGCAGGCCGCCCACCAGCTGCAAGCCCAGAGCCTCTCCTCACAGCGGGTGGGTCAGGGCCCTGCATGCACAGTGTGGTCGTATGCTCAGAACCACCCTTTGTCTTTATGGGGGGGGGGGGGAACCAAGGTTCAGAGAAGCCCAGTGACCAGCTCGAAACTATGCAGCTAGGAAGTGAGGGAGGTGGGAAGTGGACCCAGCTTTCTCTAGTTCCAAACTTCGGATTCTGTCTAGTGGCCCCGGGCTGGGCCCCAAAAGTGACAGGGACCCCATGCAATCAGCCCAGGCCTTGCCCTCTGGCTTCTTTTCCCAGCATTCCCCTGGAGTCTTGGTGTCAACTGTTAGGCTTGGACCGCTTCTGCCCCTGATCAACCCTCATGGCGGCAGAGATGCTGCCCTCAGGCCACTCCCATGGCACGGGAAGGTGAGTGTGCCTCCCCCCCCCCGCCGCCCCACACTGAGCATCTCTTTTCCTGTCTGTCTTCCCAGCAACCTGAGAGAAGCGATCTGTCCCTTCTCTGCCCCCCAGTGCCCAGGCCAGGGCCTGGCTTCCAAGGAGTGTCAAAGGCTGTTGGTTGAAGGAAGGAAGGAATGTGTAAGTGAAGCAAAGGGTGCGGAATGGAAGAATTAGGCCCTTCTCTCTCTGGATAGAAGAGGGGAGGCCCAGACGATGGCTTCCAAGCCCCATTTCCTGTCTGGAAGACTGCATAGGACCGAGGGACCAGGAGAGGGGGACGAGCTCCTGCTCCCAGGAAAGGATCTGTAGAACTCAGCTCCCACCTGCTCGGAGCTGGGGTGAGGCTGGGTTAGAACTGCAGGGCTTTGCCAAGAGCGCAGCTGCCACTGAAGGGCCAGCTGGAGGGAAGACTGGGCCCCGTATGACTCCAAATGCCTCTCCACCAGCCCACCCAGGCCCCGACTCACGGCGTCAGGCAGTGGGCCACAGTCAGCACCCACTGGGAGGCAATCAGGGTGCCTGCACAGATGTGTGTGCCATTGGCCCGCACACTGACCATCCACGGCCACCGCCGAGCCACAGCCTCTGGGTCCCTGAGGGTGGGGTCCTGCTCCTGGGACATACCACAGGCTGAGGAGGAAGAGGAGAGCTTGATGAGGCAGAGGACCTTCCAGCCACATGCCATGGCACCTTCCCTTCCCCTGCCCTCAGCGCGATCCTCCACTTCTCCAGCCTCTGGCCGGACACTGTCCAATGCCTCTCCTTTGCACTGGTCATCACGAAACGGTGCCATCTGTCCCCATGTGCACTGGGGTATCTAACCTCAGAATGGCCTCAGTGCTCCCCAGGTGTCCCTCTCCCTGTCCCCACCGTTCGGACCCCAGAATATTCCCACTGGCCCCTTAGTCCTGGCCAGATCCTTCACACACTCCACCGTGTTTCCACCTGGCCCCCTGCTTCAGTCAAGGAGGACCCCTCTCCCTCTTCCAGAGCCCCCTCCAGTGATTCAGAGAGAGACAGGCAGATGACCTAACAGGAAAACCAGCCGTGTGCACGAACAGACACAACACAGGGAGCACAGCCCAGGGAGCACCACTGGAAGCCCCCGCCAACATGGAGCCCCATCAGCCCTCAGGGAGGGCGGGCCTGAATCACAGTGAGGCTCCTCCCACTCCACACGCCTGCTGGGCTGGGTGGCTGTGGAGACTCTGGCCTCAAGACAGCCCACTCTGCTGGAGGGGTGGGTGTCAGTGGGTGCAGACTCTTCAGAAATTATTTTGAACTGCAAATGCATACAGCCAACATCACGAAAGACCCACTCCCAGGTGTGTTCCAAACGGAGCAGTGGCTTGTGAAACAGGGGTAGGTGGGCCACAAGCGGCGATTGTAAGTGCTAATCCAGGAGAATCCTGGCAGAGCACTGCTGCGTTGGGTGTGTAAGGCCGGGGAGTGGCAGTTCAATCCTGTGAACTGAGTTCCAGGACAAGGAGTTACTTCCCTCCGGGTCTCAGTTCCACACGTTTGAAAGCCACTGCTCAAGACAACGCTGGCGTGTGTGCCCAGGACACCCACAGGAAGGTTCCCTGGAAGCTACACTGGAGACCCCCCAACCCCGCAGTCCGTGTCTGGGAGCCCGGGGCACTTCCTGTGCCTTCTGTCTCACCGGATGGGAGGCGTGGCCCATCCTGATGCTCACTCAACACTCGTCCCCCCCGGATCAAAGGTTTGGAAATCTCCTCCAAGCCCCCTCCCTGATGGAATGAGTCCACAGTACTCACTGAGTGGAATGACTTGAGAAACAGGGTTCTCCGTGGTCGGCAGGGTCAAGGTCGGCAGGGTCAAGGTCGGCAACGTCAAGGTCGGCAACGTCAAAGTGGGCAACAGAGTGGGAGTGGTAGCGGCCTGCCGGGGGAGGCGAGGCCCACCTGAGGGACAGGTGGCACTAGGGACACAGGGGGCGCCAGAGTCGCGGGAAACAGCCGCAGACCCTGCCCCCAGGGCTTCGCCTGTGCCCAAGCAACCTGTGGAAGGGTGCAGAGAGGGTCAGAAGTGGACAGCGAGGCCCTGGAGTGAGGAAGGGGAGAGGGAGGGCGGACTCACCCTCCGGCCTGAGCAGCAGAAGCAGCAGCAGGCCAGCCTGGGCCAGGAAGGGCGCAGATGTCTTGTACCAGGGCTCCATCCCGGGGATGCAGCAACTGCGCCTGCCCCGGAGTTCCTCCTGCGATGGCGCCCCTGCACTGGCCGCCCACGACGGCTCCTGGTGTGTGGTGGGTCCGGACGTCCCTGGTCCTGGTGCACGCTGCGCCCCGCTGCGGCCTCCAGCTTCCGGGGTTCCGCCCACAAGGGCGCCCCCTAGTGACTGTCCATCATACCTGCCAGACCTGGAGGGCAGGCTAGTTGCCTGGTTTCTGGTCCTGCCTGGGGCCCTCTGATTTCCTGGTACCGCTTGGCCAAATAGTTTTCCGGAGCCCCTCAACTAACCTCGCCAGTTCCTGTATTCACCGGCTCCTGCAGCCCACTGGCCTGGGCTGGTTTCATGCCTCCATCCCTCCCCTGGTGAGATGGCCCAATCCCTAGCTACTGAAATTAAGCAGATTGAAAAGTTTTCAGTAAAGATTTTTAAAGACTGCACAGTTTTGCCCTGACAGGTGTGGCTCAGTCAGTTGGGCATCATCCAGCAAAGTGAAAGGTGGCCAGTTGGATTCCCAGTCAGGGCCCATGTCTGGGCTGCAGTTCAGTGCTGGCACATGCAAGAGACAACTGACCGATGTTTCTTTCACACATCGAAGTTTCTCTCCCTCCCTTTCTCCCTCCCTCCCCCCTCTCTAAAAATAAATCGATAATACATAATTTTTTTAAAGATTACATAATTTTAAGCAGTGCACTGCCCCCCCATCCAACCTCCATTCAGCAAAGGCCCTTCCCTGACAAAGCCACCCACTTAGGGACGGTGGCTCGGGTGACGCTTCCGTTCCCAGAGAAAGAGTGGCAGTGATCATCAGGCCCTCCTGGGAGCAGAAGGAATTGTGTTGGAATTTGGGGACTGATTTGATGGCTCAGTGACATAGGTGGGTAACACAGTTAGAAAGCAGTGCGGGAGAGAGCCTATGAGAACCTTTGTTTCCAAGCTGTGGGAAAATTCTAGCCTAATAAAAGGTAAGGTCAAAGTTCAACCACACCAGGACCGGTTAACTTTCGCCAGGGCCTGCTGTCTCGGGAGACACCCGGGTGAGCCATTCAGCACTCCCGTCTCTGAGAAGACAGCAAACCTCACTCACCACCTCTCTGGGGCCCACACGGCAAGGGTAGCTGCCCGCTCTGAACCCAAGGCCCACTGGGTCTGAGGGACCCCCACACTCCCTCCACACACACACGGCAGGACTCTGATATCTCAGTCTGGCAGGCTTGGGCCAGCCTGTCCTTGCTCTCCAGTACCTGATGGAGGTCACTGAGGCGGCTCGGGGGCAGTCACCTCATGCAGCTCACTCAAGTGCACTCTATGCCTTGCCTTCCCCACCCGTGTCAACACCCATCCCTGCCAGGGAAGGAAGAGAAACCGGTTAGGTTCCGTGGACCCTTAGGGGGATATGAACAGTCCGGAGAGGCCACAAGTGTAGGTGGGTCTTTGTGTCTTGGGGAGAGGCCAACCCTCGCAGGAATTCCTGCAGGAAACTGGAGAGACCCAGTTTTGGATCCAGGGGCGGATCCTGGAGACCTGTAAGTGGGGCCATCTCTGCAGTGTCCCAGACAGACTCAAGAAGAAAGACGATGACTTCAGTGGCAGCAAAGTACAGAAGCATCTTCATTGAACAACTGAACAAGCAGCAGCGGCTCTGGGAGCCTCCCCTGCGGGCACTGCGCCCATCGTCCCCGCACCGCCACTGCCAGTCTCCGCTTCTCCCGCAGGTGGAGGGAGGAAGAAACGGCCTCCGGAACAGCTCCCTGGATGCAGCGCTCACAGGAGCCACAGGGAGCCCAAGGAGACCAGCAGGATGTAGCCAGTGCGGAAGACCGGGCTCAGCAAGGCGGAGTAGGCGCTGCTGATGAACCTCACGTCGGTGATCTGCCTCTGGATCCACTGGGTGAAGTGGGAGGTGCTGGTGTACATGTCGGGGAAGCTGCGCTGCTTGCAGCTGAAGCTCCAACTCTCCACCCCCACCTGAATCCAGGTCTTGTTCACCTGGCAGACCATGGAGCTGCCGGAGTTACTCTGTGGGTGGGGTGGGAGGGCGCCATGAGGGAGGGAGCAGGAGGGTCGTGTCGCAGCCCCTGGAGGAACTTGCCCCTTCCCAGGCCACAGCCTGAGCATGAGCTGTGCTCACTCGAACCCTGACGATGCGAGCTGGCTACGAACCAGCTCTGGAACACGGGAGTGCTGCACTGGGGCCCAAGCTCTGGACCATGCGGGCCCCTCCCTTTGTCCTCTCTGACCTTCACGCCCTGGCCCCACCTGTACCCTCCCCTTATATAAGGTGGTGCCCTTGACTGTTTGCTTTCCTGCAGTCCTGCTTGCAGACTGAGGGATTTGAAATGCAGTCCAGCCCCTACTCTTTTTTGCAAGAAGCAGGTGCAAGGCTAAGGACAATGCTTACCACAGTGCAGCTCAGTCCAAAGGCAATACTAAAGAAAAGGTGATGGCTATTTTTTCTGCTAATGGTGGCTTTATGATCTTTTAAACACTTTCTCTATACTCTTCTGTATTGTTGGAGAGTAATAAATTAGAAAAATCAGAAAAACAGTTCTCTTTCTGTAGACAGAGGCACAGATGATACAGTTTTTTTTTTTAAATAATGCAAACCAAGACTTACAGGACAGAATCTTGTGAGAGCGCCTAAGACACTGAAGGGAAAAATGACAAAACTAGACCTAAAAAACACAAAAGAAGACCTACGTGAATGTCCTAATGTACCACTGTCCTGGGGCCAGTCCACCGAAAACGATGTAATATCCATTCTCCGCACTTGGCTTCCTACAGTATGGATTTCTCAAAGATACGAGCATCTTTAAAGACATGTATTAAACAGATTGGAGTAGGAGCCTTTTGCAGGGAGGGAAAACTGTAAGATGAGGGAAGATCAAGCAGGAGATGATAGTGTTGGGGCGTCTCCCTGAGAGATGCGGGTAGGGGGACTGCGGGAGCCCTGAGGACTCAGAGAGAGAATGGGGGTGGCGGGGAGTGAGAGGGATGCTTTTTTCATGGACATTCTCTCAGCAAAGTACAATAAAACCAGGACCCAATAATGAAATGTGAACCACTGCTTCACAGGAAAAAACTATTAACTTTCAAAATAAAGCAAAAACAAAATTAAAGTCCACAGTTAGGGCATAGAAAGGTAAGAACACACTGTACCCCAAAGCCCATGGGATGTGGGCCTGAATTACACACAAGGAGTCCTGGTCTAAATACTTTTAAGATCAAACGAGAGAGTAAATTATTCATCATCATCAATTCTTCATCACTGCACAGTCAGCTCAAGTCACTTGAAAAGGAACTTGTAAGACAAGAGGAAGACATGCATGCACTGGAACGCAGAAAAGTCATCGGCCTAAGAAAGGAAACCGGTAGCTTGTTCTTAAAAACAACACAAGGGGGGAGCACTTTGTAAGTCTTACCAAGACACACAGAAAGAGAAGGAAAATGCACACGATGGGTGGTGCGAGGAGAAAAGGAACGAACGCCACATCCAGGGAGAACGCGTTTCTCAGAATCTGAAGACTGTTGATAACTTCCCCTGAACAGGTTTGAATTCTGTATGAAGTGCGTGACTTCTAAGACAGTGCAAACCCACAAGTCCGGTCAGCACGGGCAGCCTGAAACGTTGCCCAGGAACTGCCCCTCAGAGGGGGACAGGTCTGTGCGATTTCATCGGCGGCTTCCGCCCTGAGTTCAAGAAGTAGACGATTTACTTCAAATGTTCCAGAACGCAGTGGATTTGTGCGTCACAGGAAGCAGTCTTAGTTCTGTGACTTAGCAAAGAGGGCGCCTTCCTTCCTCAACACACCCGAAGATGGAGCCCAGCCTCACCAGGGAAGGAAACAAGGCAGAGCAGGAAGACTGAGTGGACCGTGCTGAGTGGATGCAAGAGGCAGAAGCATGTTTACTGAACAAGGCCATTTATACAAAACAGGCTCTGCCAGCACTGGCTCAGACCCAGGCTCTGACTGCTGCTCCAACCTGTGCGCATGACCAGGGGAGCAGTGCCACTGCGACTGTCACTGTGCACAGGAGCAGAGGGTGCTTTCGCCCAGGTTCACAGCCCGGGGAGCTGAGCCCTGGGGAGAGCAGAGTTGCCCTCACTCTCCCAGTGCCCTGTAAAAAGCACAGCATGGCCCCTCCCGGCCCCGGGCCCCTCACTCCACACCTGACAGGAGTCTATGCCTAGTTCTGAGCTGGCACACAGCATGTCCTTCCCGACGGACATCTTCTGGTCCTTCAGGAAGAGGAACTGGTACCGCTCGTTGCACTCTCTGTTGTTTATGATCCTGACGGCCACCTCCTGAAGGCTGTAGGGGGACTTTGGGGTCACTAAAAAGAGAGAAGTCCTACCTTGGCAATCCTTCAACAGTTTGGCCCAACTCTACCTTGGGGTGGCCCACATTCCCTGATGGGGGGCACAGGGCCATTTCCCGGGGTGGTGATTTATAAAGGCCCAGCCCACAGCCTGACTGGAAAAGTCCAAGGTCATTAATAAGACTAAGCAAACATCTCTCAAGGGGCTTAAGTGGGTGATGTCCAGGCACAAAAATGAGGTCAAGGAGAGATTGCCCCAGGAATTCAGGGTCCATGAGGGTGACCGGCTGGTCACTGCTCCATGGCTGCCTGGCAAGGGGACAGGACCCTGGAGCCCAGCGTGTGCCACCCTCCACAAAGTCTCCTAGATTCTAGGACCCCAGAGTGACACCAATAGGTGGCGGACCTCCAGAAATTATTGGTGTCTCCAGGTAATCGGTGTTCGGCTGCCCAATGCCTCCGTGCCCCCCAGACTGGGCCCTCCTGCCCCTTGCAGACAAGGAAACCCATCACTAGGGGTAATTTTCTACATCCTGCAAGGCGACAGCTTGGCATGGGATTTAACCGTGGGAGCTGAGGTCCACAAAAGTCAAGTGTGTCTGCTACACAGAGCACTGTGTGTGTCTTCCCACCGACAGAGGTCGGGGAGCGTGCAGCAAGGACAGGGCTCGGGGCACGTGTGCTGGCGGAGGAAGCGAGGGACAGAAGGAAGGAACAGATGAGCCGGGGGGTGGGGCTGCGTTCTGAAGACGCAGGTGCCCGCCCGCCTCCACGCACCTAGTGTACCAGGGCGCCCCCACACGATCATCCAGCACAAGGTCCCCTTAGAGAACGTGAGTTTGGTGCCAGGTAAGCAGACAGGCTGGACGAGGGGAGACCAGGCAATGGGGTCCTTGAGCTTCAGGAGGGCAATGTCATTGGACATGAAGTTCTTGAAACTCTCGTGAACCACAATGTGAGAGAGCAGGAGCTGAGTGCCGTTTTCTGGCAGGTGCTGGACCCCCACCATCACGGAGTACTGGTTAGGCTCCACGGACCTGCAGGGCCACAGGTGGGCAGTGGGTCACCAGCAGGAAGGTGCTTCCAGAACCCTAGGTTCACCAGGACCCCCAGGCCAGAGAGCAAGGCCCCCGAGGCCGGCTGCCCCTGACTGACCTCTGTAAGCAGTGCGCGGCCGTGAGGACCCACTGGTGGTGGACGAGGGAGCCGCTGCAGACGTACACGCCAAGGAAGAGGATGCTCACCTGCCAGGGCCACTTGCCCACATCCACCACCTTCCCGTTCATCACCCTACAGGACACGTTGGTCTGACCGCAGCCCCAGAACCAGGGCTCTAAGGAAAAAGGCAGAGAAGGGGCCAGGCCAACCCTGTGCAGACTCTCAGGCGGCAAAGCAACCCTCAGAGCCCTGTCCTCAGCAGACTGTGCAGGCGGAGGGGCCACCCTGCAGCTGTCACCAGCAGCTGGTGCTGCACAAAGCAGGGAGGTGACCCGAGTGAGGGCTGCCCCACAAGAATACGTGGGGTTGCCCAGAGGCCTTCTGTCACCTGGGGCCCCAAACTTTTCACCCCCAAAGAGTCTACTGAAACCTGGTATTGGATCCTGGCTCCACGAGGCACGTATGTCCTCTGGCTTCTGATGGTAAGGTGGGGTGTTGCTGAAGCCCACCTCCCAGGGCGCTGGGACACGAGCCAGCTGAAGAGCGCCTCGCAGAGGGCCGTCAGTCACCCGCACAGCACATGGCCACCACAGGCCCTGGCCCTCCCAGGCTGTGCCTCGCAAACAAGCTCGGCTGCTCTGTGGGTGTCAGCTTGGCCCCCTGTTTTTAATAAGGCTCTTCCCTTGTGTTCACATCGCCCCACACCCTAGCACAGCTTCGACACCGTCTGGGTCCCCAGGCTTCGCACACCATCAAGTCCGGTGAAGACGTACCCATCAGGCACAAGGAGCAGACACAGACCCCTCCTGCTCCTGTTTCATGTCCCCAAAGCCCTACCTTCCACAAAGACGGGATTCCCAAATCTGCCAGGAGAAAATGGCAATGGGAGGTCCTGAAGATCTCCTGACCCACACGCCATGGCAAGCTGGAGCTCGGCCACCCCGGGCCTCCTACTGGGATGTGGGGGCGGGGCGCTGGCAGGGCATCTCCAGGGTTCTAGAGAATTCTAGAACTCAGGGTTTGTTTATTCAGGGTAGCCAGGGGCGGGGGCTCACGCAGCTGGAACAGCATCGGGGTGCTGAAAAGAACACTGGGTGGCTGTGGCGAGGCCCTGCCAGGGCGCAATGTGAGGCTGCCACGGGGCACCTGCCTGGGACGGTGCTCCTGGTGCCTGGCCCTGAGCCCGAGACAGTGCCTCCTGGGCTCAGCCCGGGTCTCAAAGGTATCCCCGTATGCCCAATCCTGAGACTGTGACAGCCCCTGGTGCCCAGCTCAAGCTCCTTTATGCCACTTCTCTGAAGACCCCTGGAAGGATGGGGCCCGAGGCCCAAAGAAGCACGTGACAAGTTCCGGTTGTGGTGACTGAGCTGCAGCTAAACTTTTCTTTTTTCCCTCAGGTTTCGCAGTTTCAGAGAACAGTTCCTGGGTAGAGGGAGATCAGGTGTTGCGGGCCTAGGAGGCTGGCTTCCTGAAAGGAAGCAGATCGCAGGCCTGGGTCTTCATGAGTCAGCAGAATAAATGACATCTTGGGACCCCTCCCCACCACTCCTCTGAGGTGCCCTCGCAAGGATCCCACGCTCCTGACACTGTCCATGGGGACAGCTGGCACCTGCCCCACCCCATTGCCAGTGTCAGTGAGAATGTGGGGGAACAAGGTTGTTCGCACACTGCCAGGGAGATGGGCTGCAGCCAGCGCTGGGGAGAAAAGCAGAAACCATGAGGAAAGCAGAAACCGTGCCTGCCCCTGGCCTGCAGCTCCACTTGCAGGCTGCGCGCCCCGCACACGGCCAGGGCCAGCCGCAGGGAGACACCGGGTGCTGCAGGGCAGAGTCCCAGCGGGAGCCACACAACTGCCACCAAGGACAGGGTGGAAGCCCAGAGTCCTCAACAGCAGTGACAATGGACACGTGAGGACACAGTGAATCTCATCAACATATTTACCGGTGAAAGAAGCCAGACACAAAAGGGCACACATTGTAAGAAATTCAAAAACAGGCAAAACAAACTATTTTTAGGGATCGTGTTAGAAAATCAAGGAAATGATCATCCCTACAATTGAATTTCCTCCAGGGGGAAGAGGCAGGGGAAAGGGGGGAGAAAGAGATACTTTGAGAGGAACAAGCAATAATTAGAGTATTGGATGTGTTCAAAGCAAATCCATAACCTTAAAGGCAGATAATTGAATAAAGACGCATCTCCGTTATTATCACCAAGGTGAATACCAAAAAAAAAAACCCCTACTTTAAAAGCCAAAAGATCCTTACAGGTTTTGGGTAGAAAGAAAATCTGCTCACCTGCTACTTATTAAAGGCCCATCTAGAACAAAGGGACATAAGCAGCCAAAAGTAAAAATATGGACAAAAAATATTAAGTATGTGTAAGCAAAGATAGAAATGACAACGTTAATCTCTAACAACGTGATTCAGCATGAAAGCTTTAAACACAGAACTTTAATTTATGCTGGAAACAGATAAAAATTACGACGACTGGGCAACATCATGAAGTTCTGCTCATAAATAACATCAAACATGCAAAGCAAAGTCAACCAGTGATTCATGAGAAACTGAGAACCCTCACTTGTAGTGGGACAGTCTCCCACTCTGTGTCTTTGAGGAATGAAATATCTGTAAAAATCAACCACACGCTAGACTTCTAAGGAAACCACAATGACTTCCCTAAAAGCTGACCTAGTTTGGCCCACATTTCTTACCATGATGCAATGAAACAAGGATTTAATAATAAAAGAGTAAGCGAAATCAAGTTATTTGAAAAATTTTAAATAAACTTTCTCAATGTATCTGAGGAAATAAAAATACCCTATAAATGATTTAGAAAATGCCAATAATTAGAGTATTGGATGTGTTCAAAGCAAATCCATAACCTTAAAGGTATTTACTATTGAATATCAAAAATGAAAGTAAATGAATGAAATGTTCAAATCAAGAAACTATGAAAGGTACAAAATAAACCCACGAAAAATCTGCAGGAAATGTACAAAATATAAAATTATACCCTAATCCATTTGAACAGTGGAATTAGAAATGAACACTATAAGATGAGCCAGATCTTTGAAAAAATATATGTATTAAATAGGACAAAGGCATAGTATATGTTGGTAGGGCATACACACCCCCAAGATTGTGTAGTAGGCATAAACCTTGCTCTCCTAATGGCACAGCTTTGAAACATAAAGCAAGAATTATTATCACTGCAAGAAGAAATAGACAAAGTTTTAATTCCTGTGGTAAACCTCGCAGAAGTCAGCGGATTATACAGGCATAAAATGTTGGAAGTGTTGAGAGGATTCGAATAACACAATCAACACGCCTGATCCAACCAGCTTATAGCTGGGACTCTGATTCACAGCGCATGACACTCTTGTTTCAAACGCACATGTAAGAGGCACAAATTACACCTCGATCAGCTCCAAAATGCAGAAATAATGAAGTCCATATTGCGATATGATTTTTAATAGAGAAAAAGGAGAAGCTCCTACTCTTCCCCCAAATTATCCATCAGGAAATTAAATAATACCCCTCTATTTAACTCTTGGGTTAAATAAGAAATATAGTATGAAATTAAAAATATAAAAATGAAAGACAATGAGGTCAGGACACACCAAATCCTATGAAATATGGCCAAAGTAAGACTCAGAGGGAATTTTATGGGACTAAGTGAAAATATTAGAAACCTGAGAAGTGTATAATGAACTGAGCATACTCAAGAAGTTAGAAAAAGAACAATAAAATAAATCTCTCCAAAGTAAAAGCTTGGGCCCTGGCTGGTGTGGCTCAGTGGACTGAGCACCAGACTGTGAACCAAAGGGTTTACAGGTTCGATTCCCAGTCAGGGCACATGCCTGAGTTGCAGGCCAGGTCCCCAGTAGTGGGGCACAAGAGGCAACCACACATTGATGTTTCTCTCCCTCTCTTTCTCCTTCCCTTCCCCTCTCTCTAAAAATAAATAAGTAAAATATTTTTTAAAATATATTTTAAAAAAGTAAAAGCCTGGCCCTGGCTGGTGTAGCTCAGTGGATTGAGTGCGACCCTGCAAACCAAAAGATCGCAGTTCGATTCCCAGTCAGGGCACGTGCCTGGGTTGCAGGCCAGTTCCCAGCGGGGGACTCACAAGAGGCAACCATACATTGATGTTTCTCTCCTTCTCTCCTTCCCTTCCCCTCTAAAGATAAATAAATAAAATCTTGAAGAAGAAAAAAGTAAAAGCGTGGAATTACTAAATCTAAATGATCTTTAACGAAATAAAATGAACAAACAGGAGCAGGTTTGATCGATCGCTAAAACCAGAAGTTAGTTTGTACCATTCAGGAGCGCCCGAGGAAGAGAAACTTCCACTCAAACCAGCCTAACTTTCTGTCTCTTCTCTTCAGCGATGGCAGCTGCATTCTGAGTTGGTCCCCCTGTTGAAAAATGTTTGCCAACAGCCCACCTGCTTCTGCCGCCTTCTCCACACACAGAGGGAGAAGCCTGTGGCTTGGCTCTAGCCACACCTGGTGCTGAGTGGGATAACCCACTGAAGTCAGGTGTCTGGGGCGCTGGACCGTGCCCTCTCCATGAAGGCTGCCTGTGTGCTACCCCTCCTGGGAGCTGGTGTACAATAGCTTCCTCCTGAAGCACATGAGCAGCGTGGCGGAGGTGGTGGGCTGCTCATCAGAACCTGGGGTAATATGAGGGCAGGGTGGATACCAAAAAGGTGACCAACAAAAGCACACCAGATGGTTTTGTGAAATAACCTGTGAAAGAGACCAAAATCCAGTGATTCTGTCTTTAAGAAAAAAGAGCCCTAACCAGAGTGGCTCAGTCGGTTGGGTGTCATCTCACAAACCAAAGGGTCTCGGCCTTGATTCCCAGTCAAGGCACATGCCTGGATTGCAGGTTCCATTTCTGGTCAGGGCACATGTAAGAAACAGACGATGGACGTTTCTCTCTCGCATCGATGTTTCCCTTCCTCTCTTTCTCCCTCCCTTCCCCTTCACTCTGGAATCAATAAAAAAGAGAAAAGAAAGGGAGGGAATACACATATAAATAATATTAAAAATAATAAAAGGGGCCATAGGTTCAAATTTTATACATCAGTTTAAGATTTTAAAATCTAAGCTAAATTAAATGATTTTTCTATACTGAAATTAATGCAAAAAGAGGTGGGAAAACCCAACTAGACCAATAACCATAGAAGATATTTTTTAAATAGTCAAAGGTCTTTAGAAAAGGCACTAGGTCCAGCGAGTTTTATGTGCACAACCTACCAAACCTAAAGTACCAATAATGCTGATTGATGTTATATACGCTGCTCTAGGCCATAGGAAGATACTAGAAGACTTCTCAACATGTTTTAAGAGGCTAGCATGGCAATGACACCAATCCTGAACAAAGGATGGAACAAAACAGAAAACTATAGTCCAATCCAACACTGGGGCAAAAATTCTAAACAAAACGCCACCAAACTGAATCTACAGTGTGGCACCGGATTCTCCTAAGAAATCCACTGAGATCTAGTGATGTATTTTACTACATGAATAAATAAGAAAAACCATGTGCTCATCTTAATAGTTTGCTATTGAGTCACCTGGGCCCCAAACAGTGCCTGGCACAGAGAAGACTCCCAGTGAGTATCTGTGGAACAAATGAAAGAATGAAGTCAGGACCTGCACATGAGGGGCCCCTCCCAGAGTCATGGCCACTACTTCCCAGTGTGCCGGGCATCTCTGGCGATGGGAAAACAAATAAAATAAAAAATGATTTGCCTCCAAAAGGAACAAGATGTAGTAGTCACCATTTTAGGTAATTTGGTTACCCAAAAAATAAATCAAGAGAGTCCAGTGAAGAACTAAATAGGAGAGTTTTGCAAGATGGCCAGAATCAAGATCACTATTCTTTTTAAATCCATCAACGGTTTTTAAAT